TCATCGATTGAGGCTCCGGCGATGTCCTTCGCGATGCGATTCGGGCCGCGCAACGAACGGCGCACCATGCCACGGCCCCTCCCGTTTTTCTTTTTTCTATCGGGGAAGCCGTGGCGTGCTTGGAAACAGCCCGTGGGAAGGTCGCGAGAATTGGCTCGTGGGAGGATGCGAAGCGAGTGATGGTGCGCCCGGTGGGCCTTGTAAGGTTGTAGAATGACACCTTTCCAGGCCTGGATGCGGGAACGAGCTCCAGGTCTACAAGTGGTTTTACATGGCAATTACGATGTTTTACGTCAGGGGTGCATCATCCGTGACGGTCCCATGATATAGGTGCTGTAGCCACCATCAGGTCGAGGATTGTGTGGACTCCTGATGGCTTATTCCCCCCCATAGGAAGTGGTTTTTACTGGCCAGCCCACGTTAGTGGCCACCCGGTTGAGACCCGATGGTTTCCGCAGACCTCGAGGCCCTTGGCCTCGACGTCCGGTCGGGCTCTTCATGGCACCTCGGAAAGCTGATCATCGCTCCGTGCCGTGATCGCAGCGTGGAGAACTTTCAACGCCGTGGTCTGTGACGGGAACTGCTTGTTCTCCAGTCAGAGGTTGACGTCGTGGCATACCCTTCGTTCGCAGCGTTTAGCTTGAGAATTCAAAGACTGGGAAGCAAGTTGAGTAGGTGGCATTGTTGCTTTTGGCTTGGCGATTCTTTTTGTGTGCAATTGTTTCTCTACTTGTTCGGCTCTTATTTGAGGCAATATCTAATTATAGAGTTTTGGTGCTGCTGGTGCTGCTGTTGCCGACAGCATTGTCGATCTCGTTCACTACCTCGTTCACTACCTCGTTCACTACCCCCTTCACACCTCGTTTACAGTAAAGTTTACAGCCCTTGTGGGGAGGCCAACCCTATAATTGGAGGGTCTGCTTATATTCTCGTCTGCACCAACTCTTCAGATGGATCATCTCTCTCAATGGAGGAATTGTGTCACGAATCCCTGTCACCCACTGGTTCTCCGATGCCCCGTCTCAGACCGGCTGGAGAAGAACCCCTCCTTTTCCCCAGCGCTCCGCCTGTTTCCACAATACCTGTGCGGGGAGCTGGGGATGGGGGGATGGCTTTCGGCCGTTTGAGCCGCATGGGAAGCGACCAAAGGCTTGGAAAGTTCTGTGAGAAGGCATGAAAACGGTGGATAGACAACAATTTGTTTGTAAGTATGCCAGCTGTATGTCAGAAGTGATCCAGACAAGCTCAACCTAGAAAGTGAAAAATCCATTTGAAGCAAAGCTCCGGAGCCAATTGGGGAGCTTGGAGTGAGATCATCGACTCAAAAGGAGGACTGTATGTAAGCAGAGAAAGATGAGTCCACATATATAAAAACAATTAGACGTTGTTGGAAGTTGTTTGCTCTAAACTTTTCAACACATGAGAGTTTGCTAAGCCAAGGGGCTTCTTCGACAACGACTGACAATCCCTTGGGGGGAGTTGGGGGATTGTCGAACCTGTGCCTCTGGAACGCGATAAGCTTCCAAGGCTTCGGTCGTTCCTCTGACGTGCCGCGGCGAGAAGTCCCACGGACGTCCGGCGAACGATGCTCATCTGCGGGGATTGGACTGTCAAGAACGAGGGGATTGGCTTCGCACGAAGATCATGGCATGATGGGTTCAACAGTAACAAGGGCATCGCTACTAGTAGCAAGAACGCTAGCAAAGGGCATCGCTACTAGTAGCAAGAACGCTACTAGGGGCTCCCGGCCATACTACTAGGAGCAAGGACGCTATTAGGAGCAAAGGGCAGCGCTACTAGGAGCAAGAACGCTACTAGAGGCTCCTGGCCATACTACTAGGAGCAAGGACGCTATTAGGAGCAAAGGGCATCGCTACTAGGAGCAAGGACGCCACTAGGGACTCCTGGCCATACTACTAGGAGCAAGGACGCTACAGGGCATCGCTACTAGGAGCAAGGACGCTACTAGGGGCTCCTGGCCATACTACCAGGAGCAAGGACGCTACTAGGAGCAAAGGGCATCGCTACTAGGAGCAAGGACGCTACTAGGGGCTCCTGGCCATACTACTAGGAGCAAGGACGCTACTAGGAGCAAAGAGCATCGCTACTAGGAGCAAGGACGCTACTAGGGGCTCCTGGCAATACTACTAGGAGCAAGGACGCTACTAGGAGCAAAGGGCATCGCTACTAGGGGCTCCTCGCGATACTACTAGGAGCAAGGACGCTACTAGGAGCAAAGGGCATCGCTACTGGGAGCAAGGATGCTACTAGGGGCTCTTGGCCATACCCCTAGGAGCAAGGACGCTACTAGGAGCAAAGGGCATCGCTACTAGGAGCAAGGACGCTACTAGGGGCTCCTGGCCATACTACTAGGAGCGAGGGCGCTATTAGGAGCAAAGGGCATCGCTACTAGGAGCAAGGATGCTACTAGGGGCTCCTGGCCATACTACTAGGAGCAAGGACGCTACTAGGAGCAAAGGGCATCGCTATTAGGAGCAAGGATGCTACTAGGCTCCTGGCTATACTACTAGGAGCAAGGGCGCTATTAGGAGCAAAGGGCATCGCTACTAGGAGCAAGGATGCTACTAGGGGCTCCTGGCCATACTACTAGGAGCAAGGACGCTATTAGGAGCAAAGGGCATCGCTACTGGGAGCAAGGATGCTACTAGGGGTTCCTGGCCATACTACTAGGAGCAAGGACGCAACTAGGAGCAAAGGGCATCGCTACTAGGAGCAAGGATGCTACTAGGGGCTCCTGGCCATGCTACTAGGAGCAAGGACGCTACTAGGAGCAAAGGGCATCGCTACTAGGAGCAAGGACGCTACTAGGGGCTCCTGGCCATACTACTAGGAGCAAGTGCGCTACTAGGAGCAAAGGGAATCGCTACTAGGAGCAAGGACGCTACTAGGGGCTCCTGGCCATACTACTAGGAGCAAGGGCGCTACTAGGAGCAAAGGGCATCGCTACTAGGAGCAAGGATGCTACTAGGGCTGGCCATACTACTAGGAGCAAGGACACTACTAGGAGCAAAGGGCACCGCTACTGGGAGCAAGTATGCTACTAGGGGCTCCTGGCCGTACTACTGGGAGCAAGGACGCTACTAGGAGCAAAGGGCATCGCTACTAGTAGCAAGAACGCTAGCAAAGGGCATCGCTACTAGTAGCAAGAACGCTACTAGGGGCTCCTGGCCATACCACTAGGAGCAAGGATCCTGGCCATACTACTAGGAGCAAGGGAGCAAAGGGCATCGCTACTAGGAGCAAGGACGGTACTGCTACTAGGGGCTCCTGGCCATACTACTAGGAGCAAGGGCGCTATTAGGAGAAGCGCGATGACCTGAACTGTCGTTTTCTATGGCACCTGCATGGATGTTTCCAATTTGGGCATCCCGCGGAGTTATATATCGTCCCATGAGCGCAGATTCGAAACATGTCTTCCAGTGTCTTCCTATCAGTGAGATATTGCCCCGAAGCTGAGAGCGTTCTTGTCACTGGGCTGATTGGGGATGCGAATCAGCCAGAATACCTTCAGGCACCTATGTTCCAGAAGAAACGCACATGAAACATCCCCATGCTTGCCTTAGCAAAGAATAAGACAAGTGGAACAAAGCGGCAACTCTGTAGGGACCACAGCAGAGAAAAACCGAAGCGTGAAGCACCTGGTCGCAGATGAGCATTCTCGGAAGTCGCTGAGAAGTACAGAGTTCCCCCTGGAAATGACAGGAGGAATATGTCCGACTGGTTGGAGGGTGCACGACTTCTGCGGGAACCAGTTGGTTGGAGAACAAGGTGCCAATCCATCGGATTGGGGCGATGAGACTTGTAACGGAAGAAGCAGCCAAGATTCTGGGGAGCTTTGGAACCCAGCAGTGGAGAATATTCCATGTTAACTCGAGGGTGTAGAAGTAAACCCAAAAAATAACAGAACAACAACAACTCGAGCTTCAGATGATGACACAGATGAGGTTTGTATCGAGGTGAAGGCTGCGTCCTCGGGAATGCTCGAATTCTTCTGACTTTAAAGACTCCACGACCACGTTCTGTGCAAAAACAGCAGCTGAAGCAGCCGCTTCGGCGCAGGGACTGGGTTAAAACGAAGCACTCGACTTCGGTGTAATTATAGGTCCCATATGAGAGACCGCAGGTGGTGTGCCAGACAGCCGCAGATCAAGCGACATTTTGCGAAGAAAGAGGTGAGCGTGCGCTTTTTGAATAGGGACCCTGATGGTTCCGGAGGCTTTGTTGAAATCCCAGCGCCCCATGCAAGATCTATATAGAATCCAGAAAGTCACAGGATGTCACACCTTGGTTTCTGCCTGGAAATTGCTTGGAAATCCAGTGAAGAGGACTTGCGTCTTGGCGTTTTTGTGATGGAAACTAGTTGGCCTACTCCCAGCCTATGTGACTTGAGGTTGCTTTCTCAAGTCAAGGGTGTCCAGGCAGCCTGGACAGGTTTTGGCTTGAGATGGTCCGGTGGACATGATGTTTTTGGAGATATACCGGCTTGTAGTTTAATGGGGGGGGGCTCCCAACCAATGGTTTTTTTTTGCCTTTGTAGTTTCTCGCACGACTTTAACTATGCGGTGGTTGCCCTCAGCTACTGTAAGCGTAAGGCAAACCCGAACGGAACGTCGACATCTGACCAATGGGGCTTAGTCTATTTTCCTTCTTCCAGAGGGTCTTTGGGAGGTCTCCCTATTTAATACACACCCATGACCAAACGTTTCTTGGAAGATGGGAAGGAACATGTACTTGATGTGTGATGCCTCAAATCCCAGCTGCGAAAAGACGTTGATTGACCCCCTAGATTGATCGATCAGCTACATAGATCCTCGCACATGTCAGGTCCTGTTCATCTTCAGAAATGCTCAGAGTCATCGAGCTACTCCTGAGCTTGTAGATTCCATGCACTGTCATCAACACCTGCCAAACACCCACCATCCCACTCCCCGCCATTTTCTTGTATATTCTGCATGTTTTTGCCCTTCTCTTCTCTTCAACATAGCTCCAAATTCCACCCACCCGGTCTGGACGCGACCGCTTCGCATTGCTTCTCCCGCAGCCCATGCTGCGATGGCCGGGCGTGCCGGTGCCGTGGTGGGCGCTCACCGCCGACGCTCGCGTGCGCGGGGCCGTGGCTATGACCGCGCCGACCTCGGGCGCACGACCGGGGGGTGGGGACGACCACGGGCGAAAAGGACGGTGATGGTCTCGGCGTGTTCGTGGAAAAACCATGAAGAGCAAACCAATATGAGAATAGCGGGGTGCCATGAATCAGCATGTTTGGTGGGTCAAGGGTCTCCTTAGTCTTTATGTCAAGACCGCGGGGTTTCACCTAGATGTCATGGTGTGACAGGCGTTAGGGTGGTGGTTTGGGGGGAAAGTGAGGCAAGCAGGTCGGACTCTGACCATTGGTGGTGCAAGAACAACCGGCGTGGTCACATCCTTTTAGGCCGAGTAATCTTCGGATGGGCAAGATTTTGGAAGTTCCCCTAGAAAGACTGCGACAGGAGCGTTCGACCATGTATATATATAAATCCCTCCACCAGGGCACCAGTATCGCACCGGAACTGCTGAGCGAGCTCCAAATCACCGATCTCGGTGGTTCTCGAGTAAAGAGACTTCATGCGAGTGAAGAAGACATTCCAAGCAACTCTCTCATCTATCATTTTCATTCGTTTTCATCCTGTTTCGAAACTGATCAAACCACACCAAGCACATGCCGAGGCACCGCGCGGCCTCCGGTCTACCTCTCGCAGCAGCGGTCGGCGGCGACCGGCGAGCGGTTCCAAGCGTTGGCGCCGGTGGCGGTATGCGCGTTCCTGGAGGCGAGGGAGGGGAAGGTCTGTTGAAATGGTGGTGTTGGTGGTGCTGGCGGTCAGCTCTTCAGCCGCGATTCTCGAATTGTTTCAAGATCTTTGAAGTAATGGACAATCGGATGAAAGATTGGGCTGTTTCGCACCGGTTGGGTTTGTAGCGAACACATGGTGTGGAGATTAATTCGGAGACTGGGTGACGCGTTTTTGAGGGGGCCTGTTTGGAGACTGGTCAACGCTTGACCTGGCGTTAATCCCTTCCCCCTTTGTTTGAGCTCGTGGTTCCCCAGAGTTGGAGGGACCAAAGACGACACATTTGGGAAGAGCAACAACAGAAACAAGTCGCGAAAAGGACCATTTGAATTATAAAATCCTTACTGTAATTCCTCTCGTATCAAAACAACAAAAACTCCAGATGGAAGGGTCTTTCCTCTTCCCTTTAGAAACATCCTTTATTCAAATAGTGATTCTTCAATTGGACAGTTAGGGTTGCTTTAGGAACCTAAAGAGAACTGCACCAAACCCGACCATGTTGGTAGTTTAGTAGTGGCTTTAAAGGGCGCTAATTTAACAATAAATTTATTTAAAACCATCTTTATGGGTTTCCGACATGGTGTGTTTTGCTTTACTTTTAGTTGGGGAGTGTTTTTAACATAGGTACTCGGGATTACTCAGCATGGGATTGTGTTCACATGGTCAAGAAAGGCCAAGTGACAAGGTTCGCCAGGAAGAAGAATCCCCTCCCAAACTGAAGAGGTCTGTCAATTGTTTTTTCCATGTTTGTTCAGATCACCAACTTGCAGATCTGATGAACTGGTCGAAGGGATGATCCGTGAGCACACCCAGGGCTACGGCTACGAGACCCGCTCCGACACGGTGCCTGGGATTGAGATCGACTAAGATCACCTTCGCTCGTTTCAGGGGCCGGTGTCCAAGAGAGCAGGTTTCCTTTTAACGTTTAATGAAGTTGTTCGAGGGTCCCTGTTTGTAAGGGTTTTAGCGTCACATGGCCCTTTACTGTATGTGTGTTGTTTTCACTGAATGGAAGGGTTGAAGGCGCAAAGTGGCCGAACCGAACAGCAAATAAATGCAAAATAGATTAAAGTGATTGCAGGAACACGGGAAGCTCCCATTGAAGTCCTCAAGCTGAACCAGTGAGGATTGCTTTGACATTACAGCTCACTAACCACATATACTTCAATGAAGCAAGGTCTGATGAGGGGGTGGGTACGGTGGCTAGGGCGGGGCGACCTCTTCAGGCCCCAGATTCTGGTGTGCAGCTCTGACTCTTGACAGATTCATGATTGATCTACTATCCTTCTGGATCCTTCTAGCCTTTTTTGGGAGAAAACCATAGAAAAACCATCGCTTTTCTGCCGGGATTCGCAGCTGAGTTTGGCACCAGTCTCGTAATGGAGTTCCAAAGCGTGCCATGGAGTGTTCCCGTTTCACCTCCGACTTCGACCACCACCACCTCGTCCGACTTTGAATTCGAACAGGTCGGTGGGAGGCCTGGATGGAAGTGGACAAGGGAAGGGCCCCTGGAAGACCATTTTTCTCTACAAACAGGTAGTGAGTTGACACTTCCAAGTGAATGATTCGGAGAGTACCTCCGCATTCTTCGAGGAATCCGAACGGGTTCGTTTCGGACTGGTGGGGTGTGTTGAGGAGGTACTGGCCTGTAGTTCTTGAGAGGTATCGGTGTTTGGAAGTTCCAGAAGGTTCCAGCAAAGCGAAGAAAGTGAGGTCAGCACATCGCCCAGAATTCGGCAAGAGGTCAATGCGGCTGTGCTGTTGAAGACTAGATTAGACTAGACTAGACTCGACCTTCTGAAGTTAATTCATTGCCGTTTTTGCAGCAAACCTTTGTGAAGATGGTAATTGTATAAGATCGGGTCAAGTCGCCTTGTTGGTTTTGTTTGTCAGTCACACTCGTTGAGACTCCAAAAAACAGCAAGATGAGCGCCAAACTTTCCTTGCAGGCGGTGGGTGTGGTCTGTAAGGGAACAGAGAGCCAGGCTTTAAGTCCGTTTTGCACCGATGTGCTTTTGGAGGCTGAAGCTCGTGGATCAGGTGCCAGCGTTCCACAGCTGCAGTGCTGAAGAGGTCCGGAGAGGAGCTCATTTTCGAGAGACGCGGCTTTGGCAAGCGAGGCACGATGAAGCCAGGCAAGCCAGGCGTGATGAGTTGTTACGAGCTGGCGAAGTTTTGCACTACCTGGACGGCGACTTGGTGAAAGGAGAGTGGTGTGGTCATGCGTGGTCTAGTGCGGTGCAGGTGTCAGATTTTGCAGAATACAGTTCTAGTACTAGTACTAGCATGTTCTATAGCAGATTATGTCGTAGTTATACGGGTCTATGTAGAGGCCACACGTTGAAGTAGCTCGCCGGTCCCATCCATCCCGCCGTTCGTCCTTTCTCTGTGAGTGGATGGGCGCTCCATTTTTCTCGGCATTTTCAGCTGGAGAAACGACAAACACAGCAACTTTCTAAGGGTTTGCCAAAACACACGATCGTACATAGGAATAAAACACTGAAGCTTCATCCCCCTTGCTTTTTTGTTTCGGACGGAACAAGAACAAGAACAAGACCGACCTATTTCTTGATCCGTCAGACACGCCGCCTCGAACCCCCGCTGCCCATCATAGCTTGTCATGTTGAGTAGGTGAGTAGTTCCTTGTCAGGGACAGCATCACATGAATAACATAGGTTCCACAGTAAACCCCACCAAAAAGGGGCTCGGCAGGTCTTATTTGTCTTTTTCAGGCAATCCAAAGCGGTTTCCTAGCCAAGGAATATGATTCGACGGGTTGGCAGATTCCCAGAAGAGTGTTGCCCTCTTTAAGCCCCAATGATGCACATGTTGTCCTTCCATTGAGATCAAGGCATCCATTGTCCTTCCCATGCGCCTTACCGTTTGCGGTGGCATGCCAATCCGCAGGCCACTGCTTCAAGGATGTGAATATGCCCAAGGTGTCCCACTGCGGATTGGTTTCGAAGTTTCCACTCCACCAGGCAGCTTCAGAGAAGAACTGGCACATGGTGAGGCTGTTGCTGGACTTTGGCGCCGATCATCGGCAAAAGGACTGGAGAGGTCGCGACCTTGCAAGCTTTCTGCAACATGAGAGGCACGACTTGGTGGAAAAGATTCTCGGAGATCTTGCAGTGACTGCCAAGCCCGAGGTCGTCTGTAACGAGGGCAGCAATGCGAAGCCAAAGCCACAGAAGCTCAAAGCTAGGCTTCAAGGTCAGAGATGGGAAGGCGCTGGTGCAGCCTGATGCGAATAGCCCCATTTGGTGCAGATGGGATAGATTAAAGCTTTGAAACAAACAGAAGAATACGGGGTGCTGTTGTGTTTAATGTTATATAATTCGAGTTATGGGGTGAAAATGTCATGCTGCTGCGCCACACTTTCAAGTTCCCGTGTGTCGGACATCCGATCACTTTGACTGGTACCCCTTTGAACATCCGCAGTCAACTGCCGAAAAACCGACTCAGCTCCACAGCCCCGGGCAGGGGCTGTGTGTTCAGCTGTCCAGCTTGGTTTTGTGTCTTCTTACATTGTTCACCTCCCGATTTGTAAAGCCAACTCTGTGAAGCAGTTGATGCTGGTCAGGGGTTCCTAGCTTATAGAATTTGGAGTAATTTAAAGCCCAGGAAGTTGCGGTTTGTTGCCGACTCGGCCGACCGCGTTCGAACCCCCTTGAGCCGCCTTTGGGTGACCCATGCCCCGTTTGGCCGAGAAGAGTTCCTCACTCTCGGTGCGGCCAGTGCTGAGGGTGTCGCTCTCGGAGCATCGAAGGGTTGAACGAAAGAGATCCCTGCCATATGGAGATGTAAAGCCATTCAGAAGACGGGGCATTTGATTCATATCAATAGTCAATAGTAATAGTATTCAATAGTAATTAATATTGTAAAGTACAATATTATATTATATAAAATATATAGGCTATAGGTGTGTTTTCCAACATGTCAGGGATTGGGACTTACCAGACTCCAGTCATGACTGTTTGGCGACGTTTTGCTTGATTTGTTCGTCCAATCAAGGGAGCCCCGACTGAAAAGGCTTGGATGCTGCGAGAGTTCACAGGCAACCACCACGCAGGTTGAGCAAAGAAGGGGAGATGACCATGTTCTACATTCATCACCTTTCACCTATCCACATCCGCAGAACTCCTTCATGCTCCGACCTGTGTGGTGGAAGCGTTTCAGGTCTCCGGAGCCGTTTCAAAGATTCCAAGCTCTGTTCCTCCAACCGTAGCGATGGGACCTCCAACCGTAGTAGCGATGGCCTCCAATAAAGATTCCAAGCTGGAGCTCGAAGGGCGGAACAGGGCGGAACGTTTCTTCGCCGGGTCGGACCGTTCGGAAGGGATCGGGACGGAGAGCCTCGAATTCAGTGCTCGGGGTCCTGTGATGGGACCGTCCTGATGCTGATGCCAGAGCACCAGACAGCGGGTTCGGTGGAGCGTGAAATGACAGCTGGGTCGGTGCATTTGGCAGAATCACTTGAAAGAGGATTGCTCGGATCAGGTGGAAATAATCATAGGATCAAAATCACATCCAATTAAGGATAGGACAGATCAGGATCAAGACCGCTGTGGATTATCTGGTGTTGTGACCGGCAGTTTTTGAATCAGGAACCAACAAACCAGGTGACGAGGTGAGACATCCTGCTGCATCTTCTCTGGCAGTGGAGCGTCATCTCGATGAACAAGGTCATTGTGAGGCTTCAAAGACCTGACATCTCTGTTCCCCTGCAAGGATTTGGTGAGTTCACATCCGACCCCTTCAGAATGCAAGGAAAGAATCTGACTCTGTGAGGTCAGCATCCACACTTCCATCCCATTTTCGTCTGAAATTCTCCACCTCCCGCCGGTGGGCGCCCGTGGTACCGCTCGGCTCCGCTCCGCTCGAGGACATGTGGCTCCTGCGGCCGGGCGTCGCCACGGGCGTCTCGACGCCCACGCTGACCATGGAGGTCGCCGGCCACGAGGAGCGTGGAGGCGGAGTCCGCGGAGTCGGAGTCGGTGCCGGTGGTGTGGAGGAACGAGGCCGTCCTCACTTCGACCAGAAGAGGCCGGAGTCGGTTGATTTCTTGATTTGTTTTCCAAACAGTTTACTGTTGGGGTTCTCTCTGAGGAAAAACATGGGAATAAAGACATTGTCTTTGGATGCGCCAACCCTGTGTCCTTCTCTTGTCCTTGTCCAGGTCTGTTGGCCGTGCCGGCCTTTGTCCAAATGCTTTGGGTCTGTGTGTCCTGCTTGGCCGCGCCGTATGCCGGCCTTTCTTCTCCGCCTTATGAGGGCTTTGTCCAGGCCTTGTCCAGTTGTCGGCGCTGTCGGCCCTTTTATCACCACCTTGTCCAGGCCTTATCCCCTCCTTGCAAAGGCCGCCTTCCCTTTCTCCACTGCCTTGTGTATGTATGTTTTCGTGTGGCTATGAATGCAACAGTTATGCAGCGGTTGATGTCATCCTCGGATTTCTCATTACATATATCCATTCGTATTTTACATGTGACCCCGCGAATCAGGCGCTGTTGTTTCTAATTCGCCAGATAGCTGCAAGCTATAGGTGTTCTTACTTCTCAATGGTGTGGATTTGGATCGGCGTTTTGGTTTTGCGGGTGCCGCTGCCGGTGCTGGCTCTGGATCGGCGTTTTGTTTTGCCCGTGCTGGTGCGGGTACTGGGGCAGGTGCTTGCGCGGATGCTGGTGCTGGATCTGCGTTTTCATGGTTTCATTGGTGCTGGTGCTGCTGCTGCTGCTGCTGCTGCTTCTGCCGCTGGTGATGGATCGGCGTTTTGTGTGGGCGTGCTGGTGCAGGTGCTGGTGACTCTTTTGGGACTGTTTTTAGGGACTTTGCTTGCAGTCCCGCGACTTGGCGGCAGACATCATGTCATGCCAGGGATGACATGTGTCAGGGCAGGGACGATATCCACCCCTACAGTGCCTGACACAGTGATCCTTTCCTGTCATGCCAGAGAAAACATCGTAAATCATGTCATGCCAGAGATGACATCATGTCATGCCAGGGGCGATATCTGAACATATTGTGCCTGACAAATTGATGCATGTATTGCCTTGTGGTAGGCATCGTTTCCGTTGGTGGATGACATGGTGTCTTTCCAGGGATGACATCATGTCACCAGAACGACATCATGTCATGCCGGGGATGAAATCATGGCATGCCAGGGATGACATCATGGCAAGCTCCATGGGATTGCAAGGCACCCGCATGCTGCGCTTTGTCTTTTTCCTAGATTTCTCTATCTACTCCCACCATTTACCCAGTCATCGCTTGCTGCTGCTGGCGCGATGACTGCGCTCAACATCTCCCGGCCAAGGCGCGCGCACTCCAGCTGCAGCCGGCTTTCGCCCGGCATCACCGGTGTGAGCCGGACTTTCCTGCAGGCCGCTACCACCTGCCATGCCAGGGGTGACATCATGTCATGCCAGGGATGACATCGTGTCATGCCACCATGTCACGCCCAGAATGAAATCATGTCATGCCCAGAATCACGTCATGTCGTCCCAGCGACGACATCATGTCATGCCAAGGATGCCAAGGATGACATCGTGTCATGCCCAGAATGATGTCATGCGAGCCAGGGGTGAAATCATGTCATGCCAGGGATGACATCATGCCCAGTGGCGATATCCGCTCATATTGTGCCTGACAAACTGATGCGTGTAATGCCTTGTGGTATGCATCGTTTCCCTGCGTGGATGATATCATGTCACGCCACATGGTACATCATGTCATGCCAGGGATGACATCATGCCAGTGTGACCTCATGTCATGGCAAGGATGACATCATGTCAGGCCCGGAATGACATCGTGTCATGCCAGGGATATCCAGGGATGACATCATGTCATGCCCACATTGACATATTGTGCATGGCAAGGTGTTGTGCAGCAATGATCATAATGTCGTCCCGGCAGCTTTGGCTGGTCTTTGCCGATCTTGCAGTCTTTCGTCTGTGTTGGGTAGCTGGCGCATTCAGCTGATAGATGTTGCGCATATTGGTGGACTGGCCTGATGTTGCGCGTTGCAGTGACAGCCGTCCGTGGCGTGTCCTTGAAACCCTGCACACCCGCTATCTGGGGTCTATGCCGGTGTAATATTTTTGTTTTCGTGCCGGTCCCAAGCAGCTGGAGGCTTTAGGAATATATAGTTAGCGACGTTACCACTTTGGAATTCAAGGAGTTGCGCAAAAAGATATCGCCGAAACTGTTTGGGGTCCATGGCGGCATAATTGCTTGCAATTATTCCAAGAAATTTCCGGACGTTGTTTGTACTTCAGTGGGGCCTCAGTCAGTTACTGGTGGGGCATAGCCGGCTCGAACCAGATATAGAGGATGGTTTGGGAAGGGCATCGGCATGTGGTGCTTTTGGATCCTTGGGCTTTGGGTTTTGGATGTTTTGGAGGTGGAAACATAGAGGTGAAAAAATTGGCCTTCTTTGCAATTCGCAATTTAAAACGGTGGAACATGTGTTAGCCCAGCCATCCCCTGTCGTCATGGCTCAAAACTTCCAAGTTTGCAAGGACTCCAGGTTTTTCAATTTTTTAGCATGCAAGGACTTGGATCACTTGTGTTCCAAACTACAGACAGCTACTGTACAGATAATCGACACTGCTTTCCGAACAGTGAAAACATGTTCTCCCGCCCAAGAGTCATTGCTTTCATGGGCACAGCAAAGAATTTGGTTTGTCAAGACAAGGGTTCGGTGTTCCTATCGATGGTGGGAAAACAAACTGGGACCTTCACCTTCCCACGACGCGGTGTAACTTGAGTTCTGTAGGACGCAGGGCTGTAGCGGGTCTATAGGTGGCAGGACTCTGGGCTTGTAGGTTTTAGAATCAGATACCGTTCTTATTCAATAATTATACTTGGACACCAGACACATGACAGTTTACGTTGGTGGCGTGACAGTTTACGTTTGGTTTGGATGCAACCCGTTGAGCTGAGCTGAGAAACCTTTGACCCTCACCCGCTCAACATTTATCGAAGTCGATATCCGCTCAGCGTGGCCCTCCAGGCTATCCCACACAAATGGTAGGTACAGGGAGGGTTCCGTTCCATTCTCTTGCGGCACCTACGATGCGGAGCAAGCATCATTACATCCTTTCACGACACATCACTCGACCTCATCAACCCATCCTCTTCCTTTTTTTGACTATATATATCCTTTTGCCGCCTGACAGGTCATACCTGGTATCAGTTGAAGACCTCTCTGGAGGCCTGCTCTTTTCGGGCCTGCTTGTTCCCGTCGCGGGGGAACAACTCTCCAGAGGGCCAGTCATGGCCGCCAAAGTGCCTGGCTTGATGGTTGTGAATCGGCACTTTCTACTGCAAACCTGGAACGCACGCACCAACGTAAGTTAACTCACTTGAGGGCTTGCGATGGCTTGCCCATTTCGCTGTTGAGCAGTAAGTTTCAGGTCAAGATTTGGGGTTTCTGCGGAGAGCTTCGCCCTGTGGAGAGCCTTTTATATTCATGTTTCTTGTTTCGAGCCTCTTGTGAAAGTCATATTACTTGATCCTCATCAGCAGAAAAGCGGGACTGTTTGAGGAGAGAACAGATCTGCGCAATCTTGAACCTCGCAAGGTCGGTTGAGATCGGCTTCCAAAGGCCGTGCCTGGCAGCAAAGCCGTCTCTAGATCATGGCAAACGGCCAAGTCTTAGTGTTTAAATCACACCCATATGGCCCATATGCCCCTTGAAGCTACCTCTCCAAACCCTGTTCCATGTTGGTCTCTTCCGCCCCATCGACCTCGTGCACTCCCAGTTCTCCGGAGCAGCGCGCGCGCCTTTGCGCTGGAGCAGCGAGCGACGGTTGTCCTCCTTGCGGGAGGAACTCCATGTCCCCTGGAAGAAGCGAGTGCAGCGAGTGGGTTCTTTCGATGTTCAAGAAAGACCCGTCACTTTCAGTGGGCACATCCAATCTTGGAGTGTCTTAGAGTGTGCTCTTAGTGCTCTTGTAGATTCCATGGTTTCTGCTTGATCGTTTTTTGGGCGATGAAGCCAGTCGTTCCTTCTCCTCCCCGGTGGTCCCGCCGTGTCTGAGGATCGTGTGAAGGAGGTCCTGGGGCAGAACTACACTGCTCACTTCCTGAAGACGCCATTTGCACTGAAAGGCACCGTCATCCATGGGGAGGAGTGTGGGGTTTGGTTTCGGGGGGATGTCTGTGGTCTTCGAAGTTCTGAACAGAACCCCAGTTCGGATTGGTGCCATCCCATGGGGAGCTTCACGGTCAGAAAACCCACAGAAACCCTTTGAAAGCGGTCCGCAGGGTCCAAGTGTGGGGCCGAGGCGGCTTGCCGGGCACCACCTCCAGATTGAATGCTTGGCCACGTGGCGAGTGGGAAGACGAGCGAGAAGAGGAGGGGGAAGAGGAGAGAGCATGAGGAAGGAAGGACCCCCCTGTAGTCTGAACTAGGGTTTTGGCTGTCTCTCAAGCCACCAGAACGAGAAGGATCTTCTTTTTTGGAACCACAGCTGGGCTGCACCTGGAGTGGTTTACCAGCAGGCTTTAAGGTCCAAGTCTGAGGGCGGCGCTGAGGTTCGGATCCTTGGGGAAGGTGGTGAACAAGGGCGAAGCTCCGCCCTCGCTGGTGGCGCTGCTGCTGCAGTTTCTGGAGGTGGAATGCCAAACACATGGGTGGGTCGCGGCGGGACTAGCAACTTCGGCTGGGTATCATTAGGGGCAGCAAGATCATGAGATATGGCTAAACACTCCTTGTGTGAGCAAACGAGCAAGCTTGAAGCCCTTGTGGTACAAAGGACAATGAGTGGGGAAAAGTTGAAATCAGCAGCCTTAACCAAAGAGCTCGAATTTGCGAAAAAGGAGCAGGTCTTAGTCAAACAGCATGATCTTCACATCTCTTTCCAACATCCCGATACCGCACTGTCACTTCGAAAGACGTGCAACGTTCCACCGTCGACCCACAGGCGCCACATCCACCGGAGGAGATCCCGGAAGCGGACCATGAGGACGAGGAGCAGGTTGGATCCCTTTGATTTTGGTGAGGATGGGATGACGTGCCAACCTGGAACGTTTGCAGCTTGATCCACATGGAACAAGTGGGGCTTGGGGGCAGGCCATTTGTCAGTAGGGCATAGTAGGGCCATGTAGGGCCTGTGACTGCTGGTGCTTCCGCAGTGCCAATGGCGAAGCTAGGCACAGCTGGTATGTGACCCTCTGCATGGATCTTAGGTTTCCATTTTGTGATCAACGTCGGGGGGTTCACAGAGGTCCATTGGAACTCCCGATAGCCTGAGTCACTTGGGTCCAGGCTTACTTGGTGACACCGCTGTGGTTCATCGCGCCGTGTTGCGGTCCGCAGCCGAAAAAACCAGCACTCGCCCGGGGCCCCCTTTGCCTGGTTGAAGACTTGACCAAGCAAAGGGGGTGCTTCGATCCAAGGGGGGGGTGCTTGGTTTAAGAGATGGTCTAAGAGACTTGACCAAAGACCCCCTTTGGTCCCGGAAACGGCCACGGCCTCCACGGAGCGGGAGGCCGATGGACCGGCGAGCGAGCCTCCGGTCCTCGCCGCTCCGGCGGAGCAGGCCGAGGTCATCGGTTCAGTGGGGGCGAATCGGGGAAGCAAGGGAAGCATGTGAAAAGGATAGTTTGGTGAAGCAAGTCAAGCACACGTTGGGTCCATCTCCGCGTGGAACGCGTTCCGCTGCGCCCCAGGCTCAGCTTCCCTCGGCCCACCAAGAAGTCTTTATGTTTGGCGGACACAAAGGCCAAAGAACATACTTCCAGAGGTGGTGGTGGGTAACGGGTAGGGACGTCTTTAACTAGTGGGAGATACCCCAAGTCTACAACCCATAGGTCATAGGTATGTGGTACCAAACTGACCCCTCTAAGAATTCCCAAACGGACAGCATTGGGAGACGGCTGTCCAACAAGTGCTTCTTGTGCTTCTTGATGCTCAGCCTCCAAGTGTTCATGCATTTCTTTGGTCTCCTTCGGGGGTCTGCGAGTTTGTGCACTAGCATGGAAGACGGGCAGACATCCTCCCCGAAAGCTGGTGCGCCGATGCAGTATTAGCTTGACAAGCATAGCCATCAGTCACGGGATGGCGGCAGCAATCAAAAACCAAAGTTTCCTTGCCTCCAGTCACAAGGCATTCCAAAAAAGCTTTTTCTTTCGTGGGTTTGTTGCAGCCTTGTGGTTCAGGGTAATCACCCCGAATCAGCCACAACATCTGCGTTGGTCGAGTCTTTGTCGCAGCACCCTGTGCCGCAGCAGGTTCCTCAGGGTGCGAAGCCAACAGAGGAGTCCGAATTAGAAGAAATTGAACTCAGCCTCAGCGAATAGTTTCGCAGGAAAACAGATGTGCGAGGTGCTTTGGACATGCTGTGACCAGGTTTCGGATGAAGGACCTGGACTGATACAGCCAGTCTTGGGTGTCATAGTAGGAGGATCTGGAGGCGAACCATCCAGTTTGGGGATTGCAGTCATCAGCAAACTCTTATATATTCGTATTATGACATAATGTTATGAATGATATATGACTCCTATTATATACATCATTTGCGCTGATGCAAAACTTCTTCGAGATCCTTCAGTTGTACAGTGTCACATGAGGAGACTTGAACCACTTTGGGTCTGCAATCAGCAGAATCTCATTTGTTGGACGAACGTGTGAAGTTTAGAAGCGAAATACCGAGGAATTGTACACGCTGTGACGCTGCAAAAACAAACAAACAAACAAACAAACAGACAAACAAACAAACAAACAGACAAACAAACAAACAAACAACCAACCAAACAAACAAAAAAAACAAAAAGCAACCAAGCAAACAAACAAACAAACACAGCCACAGCTTGGCACTCATTTCCATCAAATCATCACACATGTATCAGAGCTGGATATGCGCCCGATCTTGTCTTGCGCCCCATGCCCATTTTAAGACGTACTCGAAAGAAGCCGCGGGCAATACCCCAACTCAGCACAACGAACAGCACCTATTGATCCACGCTTGTTTTCGCCGCGCGGCGGCTGCGCCATGAGCCCAAAAGCTTTGTCACGTCTGCCGGAGTTGCTGCCTAGCAAGCTGTCGCCGGCACAGAAGAAGCTTTATGTGCCTTGGTCATGGACAAGCTGGTCGTGTTCATGTGTAGGTTACATACATCGACAACTAAAAAGGGGGAATTGAAAGAACGACTCCGAATTCTGGGTTTGGCCAAACTGGGAACTCAGAGTATACACAGGTTCCCAGACAGAAAAAAGCTATGAACAAAAACTAACAATAATCTAAAGAGAAACCATATGGTTTTCAACAAACTTGTCCGCAAGACCTGCGCTTCGTGCGTGTTTCCTGCGCTTCCATGCATGGTGTTTTTGGTGCACGAGGATCAGATTGCAGCGGGTGCCAAAGACTCCTCGGGCAGGCGAACGCTCGGTGGGACGGGAGGCAGGACTTGTTGATGAGTTGACGGTAACCTGTGGGATTTCGGATTCGATCTGCACAAAACCACTGCTTTCACCGCTTCAGAGGTTCTTAATTCCTTCAAGTGGTTCGTTTGACAGGACCCTGCTCAGAGGGCCTTCACCAGGTGGTGGTCGTTTCACTGCACCTGGGCCTCCGGGTTCATGGGCCCAGGCCGCTGAAGACGCGCGTGAACGAAGAGACCGGAGGGCTCTTGGGGCCCTTCAACGCCTTCTTGCGCCGCTTCCAGTTCAATTGGTCGAACGTGCGGGCGACATGCGGGCTCCCATGCAGTTCAGACAGGTGGACACCTTGAATTTGTGGCACCTTTAGCGAGTGCTGTAATGGTTTCAGAGAAGAAAGAACACACTCTCACAGGAGAAGTCTACAAAACTTTTATCCCGACCCCAACTCCAGAGAACATCTCTGTGAAAGAGACTAGTCGATCATCTCATCTCCAGTTCCCAATCACTTCGTGGTCTCTCCGACCCCCAGCCTCAGGCTCCCCTCAGTTGGGTGCAGATGTGGCGCTTCTGGCGGAGCACCTACGCTTCGGAGAGTTGGAGTGCAGCCAGCGCCTCCTGGAGATGCTTGGCGATGTGTTCGCCCAACGTCGAAGCCGTGAGAGATGAAGGGCGTGCGGCTTGGTTGTGTCGATGCAGCGTAGGTGCGGAATGTGGATGCGACGTGATAGGACATGGGACATGAGGTGGAATTTCGTGGGAATGTCCTTTAACATGGTTGACGTGTGCCGCGTGCGCCGTCAACTGCCTCGTTTCATGATGGCGGCCCGCATGACGTTTTCCGAGCCAAAGACCTGCGGCCCCAAGATGACCAGGCTTAGCAAACAGAACCTCAACACCCCCCCTAGGATTTGCTCAATGAGTAGGTAGGACACCTACAGAAGTGAAGCACTTGACTAGCAAGAGAAGTCGCCATGAATTTCTCCGCGGTTGCGCCAGACACTCAAGAGCTTTGAGGCGGAGCAGTCACTGCCAACCCACCCTGTGACCACCCAGCTGTCCCCGCAGCTGTCCCCGCCCGTCTGGGCGAGCTGTCCGAGTGCGCCATGGCGAAGTCAGCCATGTCGACGACGCCCTCGGTTCTGGCAGCCATGTCCTACGGGGCCATTGTTGATGTGAAGGACAAGAACAGCCTTTATGCCATTTGGATGCAATGTGTGTGGAGACTTTCTTTTGCTCTGTAGACTGTAGTTTGTCCAGTGGTGTGTCAAGCCATCAAACCCAAACACAAAATGACTTGGTTCTGGCGGCCTTATTCGTGGCACGCGGTAGCTGTGTTTGCTCACCACACAGAGCAATAGTGATCCGACGTCCTGTTCCTTCCACAGCTGGAGCGGAACACCTGCACAGACCGTGAGCGCAAACTACCCTTCCACACCTGTGCATCTAGCAGTGCTCTGCATCCAGCGCCCAAGGTCAGCAATCTGAGTGTCAATGCGCCTTGGCGTTCTCGGACCGTTCGGGGGAGAAGGTGATGAGCTGCGGCAGCTCGCTGCGGCCGAGCGATGATGAGAAGAAGTGAGATGGTCGACCCTGACGCGATGAAGTGGGCACATCTTTCATGATGCCAAAGGCACCCGAACGACGGCCAGCGCTCCAAGAGCGTAAACAGGCTAAGGAGTTTGAACAAGAGACACTATCACTGATCACTGTACCAGCCTAAAGCCTAGACATTTCATGACATTTCTATGACGTCATATGGATGCAACATGATGCAACACCTTCTTCCAACACCTCAGTTCACGGAGAATAACTATGACCAATTTGGAGCTTGGCCGGTGGAAATTCTCCTCCATTCTCCATTTATGTCCATTGATTGATACATTTATTTAAGTATATTTTTAAATAAATATAGGAGCAGAGACCGACCCTTTTTTTACACCCCCTAAAAGAGACACTCGGGACGAAAGACCGGACTGACTCTCGGGCCGAGGTCACTGAGAACTCGCTGCGGGAGGTCTTCCGCGCCTGCGGCCAGCTGAATGAGGTGATTTTCCGTTCCGTGGAGAACAACGCGCCGCGCGGGGGGATTTCGCGTGGTGTTCAGAAGCGGGGGACGGAGGTCCGGTGGACGGAAAGGGAACAGAGGTCCGGTGATGTTGGGTTTGTGTGTTTCGGTGGAGGATTGCTGTGTTTGATAGATGCAGCTGTGAAGGGGTTTTCAGACTGGTTTTGTTCGACGTCGAGTGCCTGCGGGGCTTGTGAAAGGGAGTTGGACGTTTGGATAATGGGGCGACCGAGACAGTGAGGGGTTATCTATCCCCAGCTTGAGATGACGGAAGGTGTGCTGTTGGGTCAAAGAGGCTTTGGTTTAAGGCTTAAGGGATTGGAAGGCTTTGTGGACAGATGTTTCTATCTTCAGAAAAGTTGCTTGACTCCACAACTTCAACGGGTTCTCACTTTTTAGTCTTGCTACTTTCCGACGAGGTATCTCCCTCAAGGGTAGGATGTGGGGATGTCTTTGATGATGAGGGGAGTGAATCATGGATGTCAGTGGTGTGCACCATGAGCTACGTCGTATTACCTTTTAACATCCTTTTTTTGCAGATGTTTTTTTTCCTTTTTTTTTTCGATTGGGATTGGGGCAGGGTTCTGTTGAAGAGCGCTCTGAATTTATGACATGCCAATGCCAAGTCTGCTTTTCACTTGCTGTACCTGTGTCTCAACATGAAACGTGGCTGCCCTGATTTCTTTCGACCGACCTCTACTTTGCACGGGCGGGGACGAGGGACCTCGTTGCTGCCTCGCTTCTGAGGCACCTATCCGGGGTCTCTGAAGTGGTACGCGCAGTTGAACTTCCAAAGTGCAGATGGCGTGGTGCAAGCCAGCAAGATGGAAGGCGGCTCGCCTCGCTTCATTTTTCCGACCCGCAGCGCAGGAACCGCCTCGGCGGGTGGGTGCGGCTGAAGCCACCGACCGTGTGGGGCTGGGTCAAAGGACCCAACCCACAGTCGTCTGGAAAGACTTCACATTCATCTTGCCAAACCCTGCACCTGCCAAAGATGGATATCCGGACCCCCGCCACCCCGAAAGAGTTCCAAAAGGATGTTTGGGCAAATCCCGTGGTCATTTGTGACCCTGAACTGCATAAAGGGTACGTACACCTTTTTGTTTCCTTCAGGGATTCACCCACGGTCGCCCTGTCACAAAGTGAGTGTTCGAATGAGGAGTGGTGTATTAACCTGGAACCTGAACACCAACGGTTTGTGGAGGGAGCTAGTCTTCCAAAGATCCATTTTCAGGATCCATGTTAATCTTCCCGGATGTAACTGTTTTGTTGCACTCTCGCCTTGGGGATGTGAACGGCCCAAATTGATCGAACACGTGAGTTTGCAGGAAGGAGCATAATATATCAATATATATCAATATATTATACTAAAAACTACACACACACACACACGTTACATCAGAATCATACAATTGACATCGAATGACATTGAAACATCCATCAAATGACAGGTGTCCTCCCGATCCAACCCATTTGGTCCCCATCCAGTCACCGCGCCAGGCACGCCGATCTGTGGCACCGCCCTCCGCTGCAGTGCCATCGACCCCACCAGCATGGCGGCCCATGAGGCTCACCTCTTCCGAGACCTAGAGGAGGACGTAGTCAAAGAAGCGAACCCTTTTTCGGGGGTTCAAGAGTGAAGGCCAGATCCATACAGTTTGGGTTCAAGGAGGTATTCTTGCATAGTCCTGTAGTTCTTTTTTGTTCGTGGGACCCAGTTTGGAGATTCCTTCCTCATCCATCAAGTGTGTTGATTCGTCCTCTTTTTGTACAGTATATATAACTTTGGATGAGCCCAGGGTTTGTGTATGTTTGTGTTGATTTGATCTGTATTGGTCCCCATGAGAAACATAGACAGAGATTCCCCTATACAGGCACATCAATAGGCACATCAACAGACTGTTTGAAACAGATGTAAAGAAACACTATGTTTGACGACTGGATCAATTTACTGAAGACAGTGTGGACACTGCCTTGCGCGAGGTTTTAGCCCGTGAGCAGGCCAAAGAGGAAGCGGCGACCAAGGCAGCAGGGGTATCAGAGGGAGACGATGGGATGGAGGTCGCAAAAGGGTCGCGGACCAGTCGCGGATCAAATCGTGAAGCCCTCTGAACAGCCTGCAGCCTTTTTTAGGTACCGAGTCTGAGAGCAGCCGACTGATGGGGACTGATGGCCCAGGGCCTCAGTTCTTAGTGTAGTCAGAGGTCGGTGTCCGAGTCCTGTGCGCTGACGAGAGACATTCCCTTTACTTCATTGACTTCATGTGTTGGAAGTACTTCATAGCAGCTTGGCACACACACACCATCTCATGGTGGATATCTGAGGCATTTTGATGCATTTTCATGATTGTAAGTTTGAGAATGAGTACCCCACTCCCCACCGCAGGCACAGGAGGAGACTGATGCTGCCAGGCAACGGGGGATTGAGTCTGCCTGTGCCAACAGCACCTGCATTGGTCCGTTCACGCCTGGACATGTTCAGACGTAACATGATCAGCACATTCTCCCCAAAAGCAAGGGAAGGAAGCTACTAGTAACAGGTGCCACGCTAGTAGTAACAAGTGCCTTACTGGTAGTAACAAGAAGCTACTAGGAACAAGTGCCTTACTACTAGTAACAATAAGAATTTCAACATAGAAACATAATATAGAAACAACCAGAAGAGGCTGCTTTCCTGTGCAAAAAGCAGACGTCACCCTTCCTAACTGGCTTGGGCAGTATCCATGGTGGTTTCCCAGAGGGTACATACCATCTCCAACTGATATATATATATATATATAACATTATATATATATATCTATATAACGTTTGGAACACTCAAAGCGCCCCCCATCTCATCTGATGGGTTCATCCACCTCGTCATGAATTTGGACCCGACACCCGCTGCAGTTGACCCCATGGACCGCCCGTCCATGCTCCCTCAGGCAAGAGTGGCACAAGAAACTGAGGGAGCATGCTGAGGTCAGCTCGTGTCGGCTGCAACACTTGGTGGTGATGAGGTGGTGATGGTGGGGTGTGCGCTGTGTGCCCTTGCTGTTCTCCATTCTTGCAACCAATGGTGCAGTGCTTCATGCGGTGGGCACTGCGTGCACTCTTCTGACAGAATCCCACACACACTACCTTCAAATCAGGACGCTTTCTGATTTTTTTAAAAACATGTTTGTTTGTTGCGCAGCGGTGCCCAACCACGAGTCGTGTTACCCGCCAGCATCCCAAGTGCCTGGCGTCACGTACGGCGTCAACGTGCGGGCAGGCTCGGAAGCTGCGTACGGTGCACATCGACGGCTTGCCGAGCAACACCACGCTGCAGGAGACCGGGCGACGCAAAAAGAGAGACAGCAGGGACCCGCATCTTCGGTGGTCGTGTCTCTGAACACGCGTGTTTCTGTCTTTCCGAAATGCTTCGGGATGATTATCATGCGGAGTGACCTCTGGCATCCTCGCATGCCAGATTCGTTCACAGTAGAGTGGCTTGGGAGCTGCTAGCTGGCAATGTCCAGCTCAGAAAAATGGTTTTTCCACACCCGAAAGGATTGGGGTCCTAAACTTTGATGTGCACAACCCTTTTTATCGTGACACCTGCTGCTGCACCTCATCATCACCCAATGGAATGATAGACACAAAAAGAGACAACAAACCATGACACTGACAACAGACAATGACTACCACACATAAGCACAGACAACACGACAACACACTAGAAGCAATCACACATGCAAAACATAATTGCAACACCAAAAGCAGACAAGAAGCAATGACACATACAATACACAATGACAAGACCAAACACAGCTTCCCGCCAGTGGCCCGACCCAGTGGTCCAGTGGCACGACGACCAACAAGACAGCAGACAACAGACAACGACATGCACAACGACAACACAGTTGACCTTGATACAACACGACAACGCACAACAGACAATGATAATGCATAATGGCAACACCAAACACAGCCACAACCACAGCCCTCATAATCCTCATACTACGTGACAACACCCCAAAAGAAGCACGAGAGCAGACGACAGAGGTTGACACATGATTGTATCTACACCACCGCATAGACCTTCATATTGGGACAAGCCTGGGTTGGGGATAGCTCGAAGTGAAACGATTCGGATATATTTATGTGTGAGATTGGGGAAGCGAACCGAACGAAAGACCTCCTGTTTGCGCTAGGCCGAACGACGTCTCGTGCGTCAGGACCTCCAACGCTTGGGGGAGCAGTTCGGGACAGTGGAGCAGCTCCTTGGGTTGATTTGGTGCTCTTCGGGTGGGAGTGAAGAGCATTCCGCCGCAAAACGACGACGTTTGTGGTTGGGTGAACGGCGGGGTGAACCGAAGCAGGTTCCTTTTTTTCCGTTCGGTTTGTCCGACACCTTTGGTTGAGTCGTTCCAGCAAGGCCATGGCTGATCTCATTCATGGCTACACGTGCGGGTTTGTTCATGGCTGGGCTGCGGAGAGATGTCCACTGGCTGTTTGTTTGTGAGTGCTTTCGGAGATGGGCGGTTGACGCAGACGCGTTTCACGTGCACCGGAAAGACTTCTTTGATTCCGATTTTTGGCTGTGAGTCAACTGAGAAGGGAACAGCACTTCCACCACACACTTGAACTCGCCTAATTAAACCCTGTCTTTGTGTGGCCATCTTTTGGAGTGCAAAAACACCTTTTTTGAGTATATAAATGCAATTTCCCTTCATTTCCCTTCCAAGCGGCCCTTGACCACAAAAGAAAGTGAACCCTGCAAAAACCCATTATTTTTTGAGGCTTGCGCTCAGAGGTGCATTTGACAGTTTTAACCAGATGTAACGCATTGTGGGAAGGGTGTCTTGGTGCATGTCATGGGCTGTGCAGCCAGTGCCACCACGACCGGGAGCTTTTCAAGAGCGATTCCCTCTGATGAAGCTCCATGCATCTCAAGGATTGGCAGTCCGGGCCAGTCTAGACCCGAGACGGAGGGTCCTTCCCTTCGTGGAGAGCAAGAAGCAGAGAGCCATCGCCGAGCACTTCAGTCTTTGAAGATTGCTTTGCGAATTTCAAGAGAGGACCAGGTAGATTTTGATGACTCCGAACTTGACCTCTACAAGCCGCCACGGCAACCAGCTCCCCGCAACCAGTTTTTGCCACCTGGACGTCCTGAACATGTTGCCAACACACGGAGGGTGGCACGATTCTGTCATGCAGCCGCAAGGCATCCCAATTTCTTCGGACAGATTGTTGGCAGAGGCTTGGCAGAAGAGGAATGATGTGGTGCTACCGGGGCATCTAGTTCTTGTGGGCACAAGCTTTTCTGCAGCCAAAGGCTCTCACCACATTTCACTGTTTTACTGAGCCGCCAATGCGTAGTTCATGTAGCGCTTAGGGCGGTTGCGGCTGGGTGCTTGCCAGCAGGCAGTGCCGAGCATTCATTTTTGATAATCTTGATTCATTTTTGAATATTTTTGAACTTTATATTTGTCTAGTTGTCCTGGAAGGTCCAGCATGTTATGCGAGGTCCATGTTTAAAACATTTGCTAGTATTCGCAGAGATATCAATGGTGTTTCCAGCGGGTCCAGTGATGGACGCTCGGTCTTCACTTTCCTACCATCCTCTCGCGCCAGCGCGCCGTGTCGGGCCGTGGCGACGCGCTCAGGCTGCGCCTCGACCGGGATGCCAAAGGTGCGACCTCCAAGGGCGAAAGGACGGAGGTGTGTGGGATGATTCGTGAATGAGATTTGGGGATGTGAATATCATTATATATATATATACATATATATATATATATCATCCAACATTGAAGCATTGCCAGACATATCTTTAGCATTTCTTCGAAGGAGAGGCTGTGACAGTTGACTGTTTGTTAGCCTTTGTCCATGTTGACAGAGGAATGGCCAACATTTTGTAACATTTTGTCTCTACAGTCTCCACATTGACAAGAAAGCCAAGACCTACAGGATTACAAGCACCCCCACAAATCCCGCACTTTTGAGGACGCTTACACCACTCATCTCGTGTACGCGTAGGACGTCCTTCGCAAACACACACGAGGTGCAGCCTTCGGCCTGGTGCAATTCAAGGAGCTGGGCATCGCTCGCGGCTGCTGCCGGGGGTCTTGAAGGGTGAGCTGCACTGACTCCCATGCGCCCGTGACGGAGACTCATGTGACTCATGCCCAGCCGGAGCGTCTTTTTCGCTTGTGATTCACAAAAGTGAACTTCCGTCACCTCCCAAGAACTTTTCACTCCTGAAAGGCAACCTGGTGTGTGCCACGAAGGGAGGGGAAGAAACCTCTGGCTCACATGGGGGTTTGGATGGGCTTGGGATTGATCGGCATCTCCAAATGGCGCTTGTCAGCGGGTGAGGCCTTCGGCGGACCTTCTTGGTGGACGACCATGTGGTGGTCTTCTCTGAGTCCAAGTCGGAGGCAGAAGGAAAAAACAATATGCATACATATATAACTCTATTTGAGGTATATATACATCTTCAAAGAGAAGAAAACGGAAGGTGTTTGGGCCCCCTGAACAACCCTTTAAGGGGGCATTTGACTTTTCTCTGACATCAAAATTGATGAAACCCAACATGTGGTGATGAAGATCTGTAATGTACATGAAGGTGTTTGTGCATCATGCCCATTGTTAGTTGGCTATACAGTACTCATGTGCAGTTTATAATTGCGATATTACACAGAGTATTTGAAGCAGAGTCTACCGTGACGCTCTCGTCGTAAAGGGATCGTATGAGATGTTGGATTGCTTGCTTGTGGTAGCAGCAACGATTGCAGCTAAGTTTCGATCGCAGCTACGATCACCTGTGGGCAACTCAATTTTCGGACCAACCAGGGACTCAAATCACGATCAAACAAGCCTAGTCCGAAGGTCCTGGAAATGACGATCCGAGATTATGACCCGTCGACGTCGGAGATGAAGAGCATGGTTTCACGGTGCACCAACGGCTGGACAGCTCCTTCTGGAGGTCAGAACCGGCTTCCGAAAGATTTCCCTTCAGGAGCATCCCCTGGACTCGAGTCCTCAGACCAGTCTGACATCCTGCTCCGCTCCGCTCCGCCGTGCTCCGTACCCCGAGGTGAACTCCATGGACATCGAAGAGGCCACGGTGGAGTTCCGGCACCCCTGCATCGACCGGGCGCTGGCCAGCAGCGCCGGTGGAGAGCAGAGCGCACAGGCGAGGAGAGAAACGAAGGTGGAGATAACTGTTGGAGATGACTGGTGGAGCATGAGCAAACAACGTGTTTTCTTGGGTTCCAAATCCTCGGTGGGGGAACTCGTGGACGATTCTTCTCCTGTTTTGGAGGTGGCGGGTCTTAAGAGCCAGATTCGTGTTGAGTTATTGCCAAGTTATTGCTGTCAGTTTTCAGGTATACACTTCACTGAATTGCCACTCCGAAGCCACCGGTGATGTCCCAGCTCAGGGGAAATTCTGGGAAGAGCTTGCAGAGAAGCGACGCCAGCTCTACAACACCAAGCTGGAGATGGTCCGACAGAACGCAGAGGAAATCCTGGGACCAGGCAGGCTTGGGAGCTGCTCGAATGGCCCAGTAAGTGAGATGACCTCAAAGCACCAACACAGCAGAACTCTATTGGAAGTTCCTATCCCATTCATGTTGCGTTCGGACTTCATCCCTCCCATCCAGTTTGCCCTCCTGTCCGCTCAGTCAGCCTGTCCACCTCACCGAGGCATAGCAGCTTCACCACCTCCATCGCCGCCCGAGGAGGACGACTTCTACGCGTGGGCGAAGCAGGCGGCCGCCTTTGCCGAGGACGTGCTGGGCGCGGTGCACGGCGAAGACGAGAAGCCCGAGGAGCGAGAAGAGGAACCAGAGGAGAAAGGCGAAACCCGGGGGGTGATGATATGTGATGATGGGTTTCACAGAGAGGCTTTGAAGAGGCTCTATAGCCGAACAGCGTCATTTGGTCGGTTCGATGCGGCCTTGGAATTCATCACCCACTAATAAAATCGTATACATACATTTTGAAGGAACGCAATTCAGGAGTCGAAACGTAGTGGGAACCAAGCATCAAAGCCAACACGTTGTTGACCACTAACCAGTGGGAAGCTCTGAAACTGCCAGTACGGACTGGCAAGTCCACACCCCAGTGCTACAGGTTTGCCACCGAACCTCCCTTTGCACGACATCCGAACGCCCGACATCCACGCGGTGGTCGCTGAAGCACGACATCCGCGTGCAGGTCCTGTGGACTTGGAGGAGCATCCTGACATCGTTCCAGGAGACTTGGCCGAAGGTAACCACTTAGACTGGATGAGATGGGTTTCACATGACGTAGTGTTTGTGTATGGAATGATAGATTAAATTTAGATTATGTAGTATATAGTGTAAGTCCTCCCCAGATGTTTGGCATTTGTGTGATGCCATTTCGCGCAGCCTCAAAGGTCGCGGTCCGCCCGGGCCACCACGTTCTGACCCGAACCCCTTTCAGCCTGTCGGCATCCAGCGGCCTGTCCGCCCGAGGCACCGAGCTGGCCGTTCTCAACGACTCCTCGGAGGAGCGAGGGATCCAGTGAGATGGTGCGGCCAGGGCGGCCAGGGACATCTTCTTTGGATCAACCGTAGATCAGATTCGATCCATGCGGACATAGGGATCCATGTGATTCCTAACTGAGAATCAACAAATGGATGGATTGAAGTGGTCTGGATATATGGTCTGGATTTGGGACAGTTTCACCACAATCTAAGCGCTAAGACAACACAGACAAAGAACAGTCAAACACTGTCACAACTAAACCACCACAACCTAGACGACAAGCAAAAATAGCAGCCATGACAATAGAAACGCAGCACAAATACGACCACGACCACACCGAAATCGCCACCGGCTACCACATCATCCCCTACCTGGTTCGGCTTCCTACACTGCACGAGTCAGCCTCCGAGCTCCCAGCTTCCTCCTTTCAGCCATTGCTACTTGGTTGGAGGCCATCGCTACTAGGAACAAGAAGCTACTTGGGGCTCCTGGCCTTACCACTAGGAGCGATCGGACGCTACTAGCGGCTCGTGGCATGGCTACTAGTAACCAGAAGCTACAGTAATGTGGTGAAATGCCCTTTCAGGAGGAGATCTCGGAGGACGACGAGGGCGACGCCGTGGACGTCATCGGCGGCGCCTTCGCCGACGGCCCCCGAGCCCGGCGGCAGCGGCGGGCCGCGCTGCGAGCACAGCGAGCGCCACGCAGGCGGAGCCGGGGCGGAGCGCCCTTTTGGGGGGTTGAGGAACGTGAGAAGAACATAGGACAATGACTAATATGCTTGGCTTAAGGACCACAGGGAACAGTTGGTGGACTTGTCCTTCTTTCGGAACTGTATCCTTTGGGTTGCCTGCAGACCAGTCAGCAAAACAGGCAGGTGAAACGCAGTTGTTGACCTACAGGAGCCAGGAACTTCCCAAAAGCATCTCTGGTGCCTTCTCAGAGCCCACCCCAAAGCATCCCCAAATCATGCATCTTGAGTTGTAGGACTTTCCACATCCAACCTGTCACCCGACAACACCACCGCGCTATGGACCTGCTCCTAGGCCAAAACCGCCGGCGGCCCCGCCGCCGACTCCTGCGCAGTGGGCCGCCCAGCGGCAATCGGCGCTGGAGCGGCTGCAGGCCTCGCCCGCGCAGTGGGCCGCAGCACGGCAGCGGGCTTTGGTGCCTCGGTGTGAAGTCGAACAGGGACCTCCTTCCTGCGATGAACGTCCCAGGGACCCAGTGGTGGTGCAGGTACTGTGACTGGAACAGCAATTCACCGAAATTTCGTTCTTGTCATTCTTCTTCAATCTTCCTGTGATGCAGGAGCCAGATTTGGACAAGATTCAGGTAGCTTCCTTTGAGATAACACTAATTACCTCCCAAATCCTGCCAAGTGGTCATGAGTCATGTATATCATGCATAAACCAGACCGTATAAGAACGGTTGAGTTCCTGAGCAAGAACTGCTGTTCACAATTGGAAATGCTTGGCACTGGATTGTTGTACATGGCTCTGGGCCTTGCAGCCTTGTAGAGAATGGTTGGCATGCTAGAGTCTAGAGGGGAAGCACCAATACTCTTGCTTTATGTAGGTCTTGAATTTGGGTACATCTCGGAAGGGCATCCATGCCGCGCGCAACCTCGACTGGTCTCACCGGTGGCTGTTCGATCCCAGTTCGCATGGTGGGTGTCAAGGATCGCCTCAAAGCCAAGCGTTCGTCCACGGCTGTGCTGGTGCGACCTGGACCAGGACAGGCATGATATCGCTGATCTACACTGGGGAAAAGATAGAAAAAGGAACGGTCACTATTCGGTTGGAGGCCATCTGTTATTACTGTAGGTTCTTTTCTGGGTCCAGTTTCCGTTCGCGAACGACAGGAACGACCAGGTGAATGTCAGAGAGTGGTGACCACCTTTGTGGGGTCTCTCCTGGGAGATGTCTAGGGACCAAGATCAAGGGACTCAGCGAAGGGTTGAGAAGGTTTCACTAAGACATTTCACTAAGACCAGACAGTGCCTTACATAGATAACCCGATTCCGCGCATGAATGAGAGAAGGTTAGGTACTAAAGGAACCCATTTCCTTTAGTTGTGTATCCATGGTCCACCCGTCACCTGTGCAGGTGGTCGGTGGTCCGGCCATTCTACCCGTCACCGGTCGTTCGAAACGTCACGACAGGACGAGGAAGACAAAACGCCGTGGAGCTGCTCGAGGAGATCCAGGCGGGGACTCAGCATGGGGTTGATGGTTGATAGGGGGCCCGTGGTTGATGGTTGGGTTGGTTGGTTTGGGTTGGTTTTGGATGGAGGTTTCTGCTTTCTTCGGTTTCGCAGATCATGCTGCTTGGGTTTCTCATCCCAGATGTCACCAAAGAGCATTTCAGCATGGTTTTAATCAACCTCTCCTTGACGGGATCAATCATTGCAAAACAAAGGTGACCACACCTTAATTCTTTTTCTCTATGGATTTTGGGCTACAGCCTACAGCATTGATATTACGAAAGCCAGCCGATAGGCTAGGCTTGAGCTTTTAGAGCGAACGAAGTGAGTTCAGGGGGTGTGGGGGGGGGAGGCACATTTTGAGAGGGTGAACCCGGCTTGGTGGGGGAGAGCGCTCCAAAGCGAGGGTCAGAAACGCAGTGAAAATGGCGTCTGGTGATGCGAGCGATGCAATGGACGCCGAGTAGTGCATCATTAGCATCATGAAGGGCTTTGGATGCTATTTGGACAATGGGCATTGAGCACTCGAGTGGAGACAGCGACAGAAGTACAGAGCAGACCGCAGCCGCATGTAGGATACGAGTTCCCAGGACAACCCGTAACTTGCGAAGTCCATAGAGAGCCGAAAGTGACATGAGTTCAACTCCATGAATTTGGATTGAATTTCGGCGGGGGTGCCTGCGAGGTTGACTACATATCCGCATAGGGTTAGTGCCCCCTAGCAAAAACTGTACTTGCACCATGTCCTCGGTCGAGTGGATGCTTCTCGCGGCGTCCACACGCACCGAACGTTTTTCCGGCTTGCCGGTGCAGATAGATAGATAGATAGATAAATTCTATATACTACTGACTCATGACGTCCCCTTTTTGCTGGCAGCCCTGGCTGAATCCAGTCAGCCTGGGTCCACGGCCCAAAGATCTACACACGCAGGTGCCAAAGTCAAGGCCTCTGAGTGAGAAAGGCGCAGGGTTGATAAGAAAGAGAAGAATAAAGAAGGTGTTTGGATCGTTTAATGAAGGCCCCTTTAAAGGAAAGAGACCGTGTTTTGGATTGAGCCAGAACATGACTCGCTCAAGTCCAGGCATGTGCATCGATAGGCGCACAAATCCTCACTCCTTGCTAGCCCAAGCTACTCCTGCTGGACCTCCCCTTCTGCGCCGTGGGATCAAACGTCCGTGTCCAGGCTAAGACGTGCCCGCTCACTCTTCCAAATCAACGAAGGCTTGTCGACGTGCCGCAGTGTGCATTGCAAACTTCAAACACTCCAAATGTAACAAACACAGAATTGTTACTTTTCAAACGCATGCCGTACTCGCGCGCGCACGGCGACTCTCACTATGGAGAAGGTCTTCCTGCGCGCGCGTGGTATCCCACCACCCGAACCCAGACGGTATTTCCCTTTCGCGAACGCTGATGTCGCCTTCCAACTTCCATAAGATGCATGCCTTCCTGCGTGTGACAAACACATGCCATTGCCTTGTAAGTGATGATGACCTACACCAACTTACAACGTGTCGCATTTCTTTTTCACTACTTACTTCTTTCATAATTACCAAAGTTATCCCACACATTACATACGCCCCCCCGCATCCGCGGCACCGCTGACTCGCAAGCGGCCGACCATGTTTCTTGCGCCGCGACGCCCGCCAGAAAAAGAGACACTCGTCTGGCGGCTGCTGGCTTTCGCCCCCCCTTCTGAGGTATATATATATATATATATTTGGTATGTTTAGGTCTTTAACATGCCCAAAACATCCCAAAACAAGTTGGTCATATATAACTCATAGCCATGGAAAGGAACGCTTCCATCCATCCCATGAAATACATCGTTGGTCCCCCCGCAAATCTTCCGCCGCCACTGGAAAAAACCGTGGGGTGAACACTGTTTCACACCTTTTTGGATTCCTTTTATATAGTGATGTGATGATAGATCCATCTCTCTGATTGATTTTATTTCATGATATCACCAAATGTGTGTGTGTGTGTGTTATATATCTTAGCTTTAGTGTGATCTTATTTCACACCTATGGATAGATCATGATAGGATCCGTCTCTCTGCTTTTGTCCTGGATCCTGCGAGCCCCTCCCGGGCCGTGTGCTTCGCCTGGCGCGACACACTCGGCACAAGTCCATCAGGTAGACCTGGACGGTGAGCTTGCTCCTGAGGACTTGACGGAGCCCAAACGGGCCAGACGCGCAAAAGGGGAGGACCAGATGGGAGCAGCTGGAGGTGGATTGGATGGGAGGACCAGAAGAGACGATCCGGATTGCTACGACGGTATGAAATAGTATGAATGCATGTTGAGGAACTTGGAAATAGCTGCTCACCCCTCTTTCAAGGAGCCTCTTTGCTCAGTCAAGTCTTCTTATCACCTTGTTGTGTGCATCCCTTGCCATGACAGCGCTGAACATCGCGCGCGCGCCAAGGATCTGCATCCTTCGGACAGTCCGAGCGCCAAGAGTAAGGTCCGCAGAAACCAAGGTTGGAAGACACCTGAAAAAGGGGACGTTCCTTTGAGATGCCCAGGGGTTCCTTGTTAGTGGATGAATGTTTAGTTCCGAATCGAATCGAGGTGAAGCAACTGTAGACCTTTAGCTTCCCACCCAAGCTGAGGAGGAGAGTTGAACTTGAAGTACTGGACTAGGCTCCAATTTTAGGCGTGTTCCTCGACTGACTGCTGGAGAGATAGGCCAAGTTTGCAAAAGTGGGAGTACTTTTCCATCAAACATGGGTGACAAGCACCTGGTCACGACAAGGGGTACTCCGGTATGCCCCTGGCGAGCGCTGTAACGGCAAGACGTGACCGGGTCTGACATCTGTAATCTATGTGGTCATATTTCGATGATGTCCGGATTTCCGGAGTTTCATGTAGTGCTTCTATCTATACACTGCTATATACTTGATATATAGCAGAATCTGTTTCAAAAAATAGCCGCTCTGCAGGTTCAACGGACTGGTGCACTTTACGCTTTGTGGTCGCATCAAAAGCTGGCGGCGGCTGCAGGCTGTGAAATCATAGTGAGAATATCCAGTGCAATACATAGTAGAAATCATCCGGGGCCTTCCAAGGCCAAACTTTCTACAGCCGCAAGGAAAAACCAGCTGCTTTGTCTTTAAAACCCTTTTCTAGCAAAGGAAGGAAGTTAGTTAAGCCAGCAGTTCTGTCCCAGCATTTGCCTCATCAGTTGGTCGCTTCCAGATACATGTTGTTTACAGTTGTTCCATCGGTTTTAGGGGAGGCCACGGTTCCACGCCAGTGCCGGTCGTCTGAGCCAACTCGAGCCGTGTCAGGCGTGGCAAGTGAGATCATCAAGGTGATCTCAGAGGGGAAGAACGCGAGAGAGGAATACGCAAAGCATTGAGTAACAAGAAGCCACTGGGTGGAGGCCATCGCTATTAGGTTGGAGGCCATCGCTACTAGAAACAAGAAGCTACTAGTAACAAGGGGGGGCTGTGTGGGGACTGGGCTGAACGGAGCTGAACGGACTGCGCAACACGGGCTGCATTTCCTGAAAACCAGCGTGTCTCGTAGCAAACGGTCTCATGAAAACAATGATAATGTATGTATCTGTATATAGAGTTGCAGCGTGACAGGCTGACCTGGACATTTCAGAAATTGCAATGGCATCCAGCTTGATTGAAGCAACGAGTGAGTCAGCCTGAGGAGTGCAAGTCCCTGCTAAGCACAGAGGAAGCCGCAGCCACTTGGCACATCAACTCTCCCTTGAAAAGCCTTTCCCAAAGCGAAGGATGAAGAAACCTGACAAAACAAATCCAAGCACCAGCACGGCCGCCTTGACAGACTCGAGGCTTTGGCCCTTTGCGATGAGCTCTTGCAGCCGGGCATGGTGGTCAGTGAGGCGGGACTTGTCTTTGGCATTGAGACCAAATGGTGGAGGAGTTCTTCCTTCAAGAGCAAAAGGTCACAAGAGACCTAACCCCACGCAAACCGGAAACACTTTTGTTGGAACCGTTTATGCTTTCCACACTGAGTAGATGGCACCAAGGTGGCGAACAACATCTGCAAATAGCAGAAGTACTAGGACACAGAGCCCCCAAACACAACAACTACTGCACTTCTCCGTATCCCAGGTGGCGCCGGGCTTCTTCTTCCAACAGCATTGTTCATCCTTGTTCCACTTTTAGGTTCTTACTACCCTGTGCTTAAGGCCACCTATTCGGCGGCGCTTGCAGTACTTGGTGAGCGACGCGGCTTCGAGGTAGGGGGTTTGGGCGGCGATTCTGCTGGGGTTCCCTGCTGCTTCAGGATGTTTGCAGTGCGGTCTTTTGGAAAACAAAGGGGCCTTCAGTGGTTGCCACCCGACTTTTCCTTCCGGATCCGCTTTGTCGCACAGCATGTCTGTCTTTGTTCTGTTTGGTTTGTAGTTTGTACGTTAAAACGTCCTTGGAGAGCGGACGCTGGAACTGTTGCTGCCCAATACGTGGGCGATGCTTGTGTTCGGCTCCAAAGCTGAAGCATGCCTGATATTCTCGACTTGCAGGTCATCCAAGTAGTGTGCTGGCTAACAGACCGAAAACTATCAGAGAATGCAGGCTTCTGATCCTGCCGGAGAGTGACTTTGGATGACTTGAGTCTCCCAAGACTGGGCTGTGACATGAAACGTTGGATCCACTTCCGGTTGGGCGTCTCTGCCCAATTGCAGGTCCAGATGACACGGACGTGCACGGAATCAGTTAGACCGACCAGAAAACAGCGGCCATGGGAAGTAATCATGGTGTCCAATCCCTTTTTTGGGCAATGACAGCTGTGGCTGTCTGTCATCCCTTTGTTCCATCGATTTGACAGCGTAGGCATGCACGGACTGGAATGCATCGGATTGCGTAGACCCGTCGTGCCAATGCCCCCTTCCGCTGGTGCCACGTCGATCTACGGGCGGTCCAACTCCTTGCGGCAAGTCGCTGGGTCATAGCGTTCAGCCTCGCCTGGGTTTTTGTGGGTCCCAAGCGGTGTATGATGATCATCTATGAGTCATTTTGGATGATCATGGATTGCGGGCTATAGTCACTACAGGTTTCTGTTTTTTGCCGACACACGAAGACGCGCAGTGATGTACAGTACTGGGTTGTGAGATGTTTTGTTTTTTCATTCATCCGTATTTTGGGATGGTTGTACCAATTGACTAGGTTTTTAGACACGGTTTCAACTTCAACCATAAAATAGTACATACCTGATTGGTTCAGGGATGCTGTTTTGAACTGAGGAAATAGACAAGAAAGTGAAGAATATGTTTCTGTGAATTGGGAATTAATGGATCCACTTCGGTTGGAAGGGATACTGGACTTGTTGCTCGAACATGCTCAAACTATATACATTAGAATCGATCCAGTGAGTGCAATTGGGTGCAATTGGTATTGCTACCGAACTGCAATTCTTCTTCTTCTTCTTCTTCTTGTGCCAAATATCAAAGGTTTCGGTTTCTTGAGGCTAAAAATTCATACACCGCCCAGGGCTGGCATGGGGGTTCACAGGGGGTACCCTTTCTGTAGCTGGAGTGAGAGACTGATTTACCTTGACCTCGCAGGTGTCGGTGACTGCGGGCTTCTACCTCCTCTTAAGTGAGGAACACAGGTCTGTTGGAGCACGGTCCGTTCATGGGTTGTTCACGAAGAGAAGCGCAGCGTCTCCCACCGCACGAGTCCTTCAGGAGTAGTTGCAACGATCAAACGACTAAGACTTCGTTTCATGACGCAAGACTTGCGCAATAACAAAGACTTGGGCAAGAACGCGGCCAAAAACACAGAGTTCGATTGTTACAAGTGATTCGTGGCGCCGTGATTTGTGGCTCCAGCGCCGCATTTCTTGTGGTGCACGCGGCTGCGGATGGCCCCGGATGCGTTGGCTGCTGCTGGGCTTAGTCCCTGAGCAAAACTGGAAGGTTGATGAGGGTTGGGCATATCTAGTGACTCCAAACTATGCAAAAGCACCCCCCAAATCACCAACTTCCCTCCACATTAGACGAATGAGTGTGAGCATCATGTGGCCTCTTTCAAGTCGATGTTCCACCACAGCCACCGGAGCGGGCACGGTTCGCCCGTCCTTGGGGGGGCGACCAAGAGGTCGGTCGGTCACCCCTTAAGAGGTCGGTTGGTCTGCCGAACGAGGTCCCAAGCATTGGCCGATGCGAAGTGAGCGTGGGCCTGAGCATCCGTCGAACTGGGTGGGCCGAAACATGAGCGAAGCGAACGACGTGCCGTGCACTTCTCATTTCCTTTTCTGCAGCAGTTTCTCATTGTGTTGGTTATGCATGCATGCCTGCTCATCACTTAGCAGAGCAAGCCGTGCTCTCACATTATCATCCAATCTGGTATTTGGTGAGGACTCTCTGCCTTCTCAACCCTTTCGTTTGTTCATGATCCATTCCTTCGTGAAAAGGCGAGTCCACATGCCTTTGCCTGCCCCTTTCACCTCTGCCTTTCTGGAGGTGCCTGAGTGCTGAGGTACATGCGGCCGTCTTGATGACCTTACCACACCTTCCACCGATGCCCCCATTCAGGGGGGGCACATGCTGATGCAGTTGAGCTCCGGTCGCTGCTCGGCATGAGCTTGGCAGCGAACATCCAGGGGGTGATGAAACCAACAACATTCAAAACCGGTTGGAATCAGAGCGGGCTGTGCTTCTCGAGAGCTTTTTTTTTCCGAGCGAAGAGAAGGTGAATTGAGATGACTTCGTCGGAATTGGTGCCCAAAGAGACACGGGCTATCACGCTAGTTGACGTGTGTTGGGCAGATGACATGGTGGCTAGCCCAAACACCTTACTCGTCAGGTCTTCCTCAGATCAGCAGGATCAGCAGTGTCCTGTTTCTAGTGTGGATCGGGCCAACCTAGGTGTTCTCCGGCCATTCAGGCGCCCTTAGGTGGCTTATAAATAGAAGACTGAGCGGGTGTGCTAGGCGCGTTGTACGAACGAACATGCGCCAACTGGTGAACCGAGGGCGTCGCTCCGATGCTCCGAGAGACCTCACTGAGGAGAGCCCAGCTGGACCTCTCCGTTGGAGGCCGCGAGGAGCGCGTGACGCGGTGAGGCCTTGGACATGGCCGACGTGATCGTTTTTTCCCCAAACATGTTGCTGTTTCCCATCTATGCGGGGTATTACCCGCTTGAAAGAGGAGGCGCTTGAAAGAGGACGCGCTCACCAGATCCTTTTTGGTCACTTTGGAGCATGGGTGTAACAAGTGCATCGCTACCAGTAACAAGGTACATTACTACTGGCTTCTTCTAGGTGTCAAGGCCCGATGCTGTTTTGACCACGAGTGCTTGCTGTGCAACTTCCCAAGCGGAACCCTCTTATAGAGGTTGTTTGTTTCCCCAATGAGGATCTTCGTTTGCTCACTTCGTTCTATGCCTGCGGTCAGGCATTAGGGCCTGGGATCGGGCGGAGAACAAATAAAGGATTTTGCTGTTGGGGTTCTCTCTAAGGAAAAGAGAAGCTGGCCGCCTCTGGCCGCGCCCCTGAACCTGCTCCTCACATTCCAAGAGCCTTTGAACATCTCTTCAATCTTACGCGAGTCACGGGGTTTGTATATAGTTTTTGGAGCACGGGCACATACATCCTCCAAATGCGCTTCCTACTGCTCAATTGCACCGGGAGGGCTCAAATGCCTTCCTCAACTGGCAGCTCCTTTATTCTTCGCAGGGCAACCGTTCCTGGGCTAGACAGATCCGGTGGAAGCGGTCAGTGAGCGGCAACCGCAGACTTGCTTAGATCATTCAAGTCCCAACAGAGGCGATGAAGGGACTTTTGAAGGTCGATGAACACGGTCACACAGGTTGAACAGCGGTTCTTGCCCTTTGCAAGAGAGAGGGACTTATTGGTCTGTTTTGCACAAGAACCGGGGTTTTGGACTACACGGGCCCATCACCCCCCACAGCTGAGGTGAGCTGCTAAGCAGCCAAGAACTTGGTGCAGGCAGTGCCAACTGGGGACATGGTGCCAGCTATGGCTGGCTATGGGGCTGGAGTACTATTGTTTTTGGCACAGAGTCGCGTGAGATGGTCTGCGCGAAGACAAGGGCTTTGTTCAGGGAAGGAGTTGTGGAAAGAAGAAGGAGACGAAGAAAGGAAGGGGCCCTCTCATTCCTTTTCTCCATCTACCTTTTTTGTTTTGACAGTTCCTTGAACATTTCACGAAAGTTAGCCTCAGGCTGCCTGAGTTCTCTTTAGCAAAAATGCATTGCAATTGGTTCCCTGCCTATTACATTGAATTTGGAGGGTCTTGGATCAATTCGCCCCTACTGCTTATTATAATATATATAAATATACAATCATTTGATTGATAGCATCCGTTTCGGGACAATTATGCCTCACGAAAAACGACACTCCGCTCGCTTTGCTCCTTTTGCTTCTGCCGTTGCTGCTCTTCCTGCTGCTCTTGCTCTTGCTTGTTTTTGTCGCACATCCTGCTGCTCTTCGCGCTGGTCTTGCTGTTCTTTGCTGCTGCTCTTGCTGCTCTACCTGCTGCTCAACCTGCTGCTGCTGGTGCTGCTGCTGCTGGCTTTGCTGTTTGCTGCCGGCTTTAAGACTCACCTTTTTCGGGGCACCAGCTCTTGCGACCATCTCGCACACACACTTATGGATATGCGTACTGATGTGAATGCGGTGCCACACGCCGGCCTAAGTGAAAAAACCTTAGGAAACAGGGCAAGTAAAGGTAAAGTTAAATTAGAGGCCATCGCTAGAAGTTGGAGGCCATCGTCCAAGTTTGGAGGCCAAAGTACCAAGTTTACAGCGAGCATGTTTACAGCAAGCACGTTTGCAGCAAGCATCTGTGCCCACCCCAACTCTGCAGACTGGATAGGAATGCATCCAGTCGAGCAGAGCGGACGCGCCGGCCCTAAGGGCAACCGGCAAATAAACTACTAGAAGGGCACCACAAATAGGACGAGGCCATAGCGACAAGGTTGGAGGTCTGCGCAATAGGTTAGAGGGCCCACAAGACACAAGGCAGCAAAAAAAACAAAAACAAAGCAAAAAAACTGGATTGTCACTCCAAGGGTTGCACTGCAACATCGTGAAGCGCTTCAAGATTTGTGCGTGTCATTCCTTTAAACTGCAACATTGTGGTACACATCAAGATTTGTGAGTGTCATCCTTCAAACTTCAATTGAATCCCTGTGACTACAAGGGGTACACACACACGCCTCCCCTCGGCCCGAGGGGGTATTGAAGGTGCGGACAAAGTAGTAGTAAGGCCAGGAACCTCTAGTAGCGTCAAAGTAGCGTCCTAGCACCTAGTAGGAAGGCCAGGAGCCCCTAGTAGCATCCCAAGCTAAGGTCCCGACAGGAGGGAGGGGTAGGGAGAGACGAGAAAAAGGAAAGCGAAGAAAGGAAGGTGTTCCCAGCTACGACGCATGCGTCCAAGGACACACCAAAGGAAGAGAGGAGAAGGGTTCCCAGCTATGACAAAAGCATCCAGGGACACCCAAGGAGGAAGGAAGGTGAAGAGAGGAAAGAAAGAAAGAAAGAAAGAAAGAAAGAAAAGAAAAGAAAAGAAAAGAAAGAAAGAAAGAAAGAGAGAGGGAGAGAAAGGGAGAGGAGAGAAAAGGAAAAGGCAGGTGTTCCCAGCTACGAACAAGCGTCCAGGGACACACCAAAGAAAGAGAGGGGTGATCCTGAGTATTTCATTCAGGAAAACCCGAGAAAGCAAAGAAAGAAAGGGGAGGGAAGGGGGAGAAGGGGGGCTAAGTTCTCGACAGACTCCAATGAGCCTTGAACAAACTTTGGTCGCTGCGACCACGTACGGCTTGCCCGAAGGCTGCCACCTCTGACCGCCGCGGTCACGTAAAGGCATGAGCCAGCTTGGAATTCCAAAGATGAGACAAAAGTCTGAGTTCTCTCGGCCTAGGCCACCTTCGCCCGCTCTGGGCACGTACATCTCCGGGCATGGGAGATAACGACAAACCCCCGTTCGACGGGTCCACGGGAGGCACTCTACGGGCTCATCCCGGACTCTCACTAGGAGAGACACACTTATGGATATGCGTACTGATGTGAATGCGGTGCCACACGCCGGCCTAAGTGAAAAAACCTTAGGAAACAGGGCAAGTAAAGGTAAAGTTAAATTAGAGGCCATCGCTAGAAGTTGGAGGCCATCGTCCAAGTTTGGAGGCCAAAGTACCAAGTTTACAGCGAGCATGTTTACAGCAAGCACGTTTGCAGCAAGCATCTGTGCCCACCCCAACTCTGCAGATTGGATAGGAATGCATCCAGTCGAGCAGAGCGGACGCGCCGGCCCTAAGGGCAACCGGCAAATAAACTACCAGAAGGGCACCACAAATAGGACGAGGCAATAGCGACAAGGTTGGAGGTCTGCGCAATAATAGGTTAGAGGGCCCACAAGACACACGGCAGCAAAAAAACAAAAACAAAACCAAAAAAAACTGGATTGTGACTCCAAAGGTTGCACTGCAACACCGTGAAACACTTCAAAATTTGTGCGTGTCATTCCTTTAAACTGCAACATTGTGGTACACATCAAGATTTGTGAGTGTCATCCTTCAAACTTCAATTGAATCCCTGTGACTACAAAGGGTACACACACAGACCATTTCACACGGTACCTACCTTTCGTTAACCTTTCCTCAGTCTGTCTCAGCACTGCTCAATACAGGAGCTTCGCCTGTTGGCTCAGCTTTTCTGGTTTTGACGGTCCTCCTCCTGGGTGCGGCTCGGCTTGAGGTTGGGGGATCTGCCGGGTAGGGGTCCGCACGGATATTAATGTTTGATGAATAAACGTTCCATATATGGAGATATTATTTTGCGATGACAGCTCGGCCATGCAGGAAATTTTGTTTTATTCATCAACAGTCAACATTAGTGCTTTAATTGTTGGTGGCAATTTCCCTGGTATGCATTTCCAGCATGTGGATGCCAATCAAGACCTTTGAGCCACCGCCAGAAAGAACTCCAAGGTGGCCAAGGAACCAACATGTTGGTGGGGGTTTCTCCACCAACACAGGGGATTTTCTGCTTTCGATCCTGTGCTCTTTTCTATTGGTTCGTGTTAGCAAGCATTCGTTTGGGCTGATAAACTCTGGATGGTGCGGGGAATATCATGTTCTTGGCAGCGGTACGCGGCATTCTTGTTCTGCCTACAGTTTCCCCTCAATCATGACTCAAGTTGCCTGACCAGAATTCTCCACATCTCAGTTGGATGAACTGGGTCCGATCGCCCGAGGTGTGCGCTTGTGCCTGTGCTTTCAGTGCGGTGGGCACCGCAAACCCGGCGGCTTCTCTCCCAGGTGGGTCGAACGAGCGAAAGACACCTCGAAACGGTTTCGGAAGACTTGGAGAGTCCTTTGAGAGTCCAAGTGTGCAGAACACAACCTCAGGAAAAGAGTCGGTGCGCTCGTAGGATTGTTGACACTGATGGGGATGACGGTCACCGTGTTGTTGTCTTTTTGGACCCAGACCTGCATTCCAAACGTCAAAACCCACGTGTTCACTAGTTCTGCCCCTTCACTCCTCCGATTTGGCGGTCGCTGAGAGAAAACCAACCGTTTGGATCCATCCGGCCCTGCTGTTTCTTCTTTTCCCAGGAAAGACACCGGTCGCGGGAGGAGTAGAGACCCCCCCCCCGGCGATGGCACTGCAAGCAGCGCACCAGTTCCGTGAGGTGGGCCGTCCACACGGCCGACGCTAGAGCCGCGCGGGAGACCTTCACAGTGCTTTGGAGAAGCAGGGTGGAGGAAGGTCTAGCATTCTTGCTTATATATATATATATATAAAAGTATAGTATATGTGGTGAGTGCAGTGCATCTGATGTTGTTGTGCAACTTGCTTTTTAAGACCTATTCCAGGTGTTTGACACTATTGATTGTTTGATCCAATTGCTATCCACAGTTTTTCTTTGAACATTGTTGAATTGTTTTGAGGAAGTCTCTGGAAATGATCAAGAGCCTCCAGACCACTGGTATCGCTACTTGATAGCGGGGATACCATGTTTGATAGTGAGTTGAAGCAAGCGTGTGTGAACAAGGTTCAAGGTAGTGGTCTTGACACCTCCATAGGGCCTGCGTTTAGAAGGCAGGCACGCGAATTCAAGTATGTCGAGCTACCCATGAAGCGTGATCAGCAGCACAGACTTCAAGCATCTTCAGACCAGAGAACAAGAATCATAGGTATCATACGCTATTTTGGGGAGACGCTTCCAGTTTCTGGTAGAGAGTATGTGCCGATCAATCAGCAGCAGATCGATGTGTTTTTCGCGCCGGCGCTAAATTGTTGGTCGTGTCATGTGGTGTGATTTTGTGATGCCGGTGATGTGATTCACGTGGATTGATTTGTGATCGTTTAGATGATCGTCCCAATCGCTCCACCTCGTCCCAATCAGGGAGACACCTCGGCCGGAGAGTTGTCGAACATGGGGGTTTTCTGAGGCTGCCGACCCAGCCGCCGACCATGGAGGCCGGGGACCGGGTGGTGGCCAAACCGGCAGAATTTGCGTCCTACCCAGTTGATCCAACAAAGAGACCTGGCAGCTTCCTCCCAAGCAACCTCTCTTGAAAAGTGACATTAAGATCCCTTAAGAGCACTGTGGACTCAAAGCACTCTGTGGCGTTGGGCGGCCGCGCAGGACACAGGCGATGCGATGCATCGCTTCTACTGCTCCCAGTCGATTTGCTGCCCCGACCTGGTGGTGCCTTGGAGGGAGTTCCACCGCTGTTTCGCCCAAAAAACAAGCTAGTGTTTTCCAGTGACCCAAAGCAGGAACGACATGACTCCTTAAATCAGAGGCTTTGGGTGGACATTGTAGAGTTTGAGTGACTTCCTTTTTCTGTTGGTTCTTTGGAGTGATGCTGGTTGTATAGGATTTCTCCTGGAGGAGTCGAAGGAGGGTTTGTAACGTGTTCGACGAACGATGGTGGAGATTCGAACAACATCCTTCAGGTTGAACAACTCCTCTTCGGTTGGGCCACTGGTAGAACGACACACACACATGATTATATTCATACACGCAACAACAAAGAACAATTTTAGTTGTATCATTCAAAGGCAGCTGGCTGGCCACACAGATTGATTTGTCAGAATTCTGACCTTAAATTACCATCAAGGTGAGTTGAAGAATGAGTTAAGTTAACATGATTAAGCAGTCGATTCATTTAACTTGATATCATTTGATCATATTTGATCCTTTTGACTGCCGCAGTTGTAATTCTGGACTTCATTCGACTGGACGGTGGCCAAAAGCAGTGAAGCAGTGCATGGATGACCACAAACGCAAGCTATGCGTTCTCACAACGGTCTCAGCTGCGAGAATGTCACCCAACGGCCGTTCTACTGATAAAGACCAACGCTTCAGCTGCAAGGCGTGGCTGAGAATGGCCGCACATGCGCATTCTATGCTTGCACGCGGCTGGCGGGGGGGACGTACGTTGAAGTTGATGTCGCATCTTGTGATGACCTGGCAAGGCAGGGCATGTGGCCTGGCATGGAAACTTGCAATTGGTCCTTTTGTTCCTGGAGAGGAGGGCCTTCACTACAGACACGGCTGCCTATGATCGGTCATTTCAGTTTGACAACTCCATGCAAAAGGGCTGTCCCAAAAGTGTGGCTTGGATCAAGCATGCCGTTGCTGCCTCACACGTACCCCTGTCACCACGTCCGAACCTCATCGCTTGTGACTAGGACAGTGACCGGGTCCTGTTTCACTCCTCCTTTCCATCTTTCCCGGTGGGTACAGAGCAGCATTCTCTTCAACGAAAACAAGTGTACCGTTCTTGCTCGAGGCTGGAGTGGGGACAGCGGCATCAAATTGCACTTGGCCAAGACAGGCCTGGAAGTTGTGCGATTCTCGCTCAAGGTTGAGGACAGCGACAACAAGATGGGTTGAGAGACACTGGCAACTCAGAATGGCCAGACATTCGTCTGGTGATATTGCTGCTCCAGGGAGAGATCGTTTTGTTCCGAAAGCGGTCACGTGACAGACCTCCACGGTCCTTAGGGTCCAAGCCAAGAGCGTTTGGACCGGACCTGTTTATGGACTCCAGCTTCCCCGCTCTGAGCGACGGCATTTGAGCAATGGGCATTTGCTTACAGGGAGCTTGGCATGAAGCTGCCGATGGCGATGGATTCTTCCAGGTCAAAATGGTCTAACCTACGTCAAGATGGGAGGTTAGGCCATAGTTCTCTCGACATCTCATCGCAGCTCAGATTTGGGTCTCAATACTTCATGTCCGCAGACCCCGGATGTGTCCTCGAATCTTGGACCCCTTCTCACCTTCTCTTCCAAAAACAAAGGGGATTTCGAGGCGAAGGAACTTCGTTCGGTCACGGTCTCGACTATCCAGGTGCCGCGCTACTCCCAGAGCCTGCTGGGCGTGCCGCGGCTGGTCGCGGAGCAAGGGAGCTCCGAAGCGCTGCTGGACATCGTGGACCCGACGCTCCGACAGGGCAGGGAAGATGGGAGAATTCAATTGTACAGATCTGAAACGGAAGTTGGTGTGTTGATATATGTTGATACCTGACGGGTTCCGGAGGTGTTACAGTTGGTGCAGTGGAAAAAGAATTGAACACCAAGTGCTTTTCGGAGTCCCTTTCACTTGCGCTCGACGCTCTAGGATTGGCATGCCTTTGCTGAAAGCAGAAGTCAATCTTTCGACCGAATCTGCGCGGCTTTCCCAGAGAGAGCCCACGGACGCTTGGCAGCACACGAATTCGATTTTTGTTGGTTTCAGTTTATGCTCCATTTCGTTTCAAGCAACAAGTCAAGTGGTCAGATTTGGCCGATGGTGTTATAATCAAGCCCTGAAAGCTGCCATGTCGGGCAGAGGGGCAGAAAGAGCTCAACCGCGCTTGCTGCAGGTTGAGAAGATCTATCAGGCCACGGTGGTTGGGTGGGGTTTTCTATATGCTTTTGTGACTGCACTTGTGACTGCATGCGTTTGCCACAAGCTTTTCCGATGAGACGCATTGTCAGAGCTATTGTGCTTGTCATTGTTTTGTCAGCCATGAATGTGGACTGTCGGCGTCTCAGCCATCCCGGCTGCTGATTCGAGGCACGTGAGCCCTTGATCGTCCTGCGAAACCTGAAACCTGAAGCCAGAGGCTCTCTACTGCGGAGCCCGAAGAGAGGCCTGGCAGGTGGTGTGGTGAACCAAGGTTTGGTCTAGGAAGCCAGGCACTTCTACAGCAGGGTCGAGTTTGCATCCTTGTGCGGTAAGGGAAGATGAGCGCAAACGGGACATGTCTATTTCAGAAGCTACTAGGTGGAGTGGAGGCCATTGCCATTATATAGGTTGGAGTTGGAGGCCATCGCTACTAGTAACAAAAAAGCTTTCTATATAGTAAGATTTTTCTACATTTTTCAGATCTGCTCACCCGTTCTCGGGTGCTCCAGGCTTTGTGGACACCTCAGCTCTGGCGGTCGCCTACAAATATGGCCGTGAGTTGGAAATTTGCCTGCCGGACAATAGTATTTTCGCCAGCCTCGCGAAGGCGCAGTCGAGCCCTTTGAAAGGTTTGGGCGGAAAGGTTGGAGTTTTTGTTGACTGAGCATGTAAGACACTGTAGGTGATTCCTCGAAGTCATTTGCTGAGTCATCTCGAACGTTTCACCACCTTGGGTTATGCAACTGTCGAAGGAAGATAGGAAGAACTCCTGAATCATAAAATTCATATACAGTAAATGAACACACTCCCCAAACCAGTTACAACCGAAAGCATGTATTCTTCCGGGCTCCAATCTCATTTCTCCAAAATCAGGTGGTCTCAGAAGGTGTTGGTTGGACTCATCTTCCAAAGGTTCTGATGGACCCCGAAGACTCCGAAGACATCTCCACCACGCTCCGGAGGTGGAGAGCCATGTGGGGCCCCGCTTTGTCTTGAAGATCGGCGCGGAGGAGGTCACAGGCGACTGGGATTCGTTTCGAAGGAGGAAAGAACTTATACAAAGAATTACAAAGAACATCGCACATATATATATATATATATATATATATACAACTATATATAACTATAATACAGTATGCTACATGCGCGTAGACAGGATTTTGTAGTATTTCAATATACTTTATATAGGTGTTATTGGTGTTAAACACGGGACAACTCCTCATTTTACGAATTCCACAAACGAATTGGGCCGGGTTAACCCTGACAATGTCTCCTTGAAATCCTAATGGTGATGGGAAGAAAACAGAAAAGTGCTTGATTCCGACAGGTAGGAGGATGTAGGAGTAGGAGAGTGTGATTTTGGACACTTCAATGCTGGTTGGACCCTGAACCACTGGTATGTTTTTCTAGTAAAGAAGATCTTGGTGATCCTTTTTGGAGAAGATGTGTGACACTGGGCACCCAGGTACCATTGTTCATACAGTCTCCCTCGGGTTTTCCTGGAGCCTTTTCTCCAGAACTTGCGTGCACCCTGCCCCAAGGAGAATCCTCGGTGCTTCGTGAAAAGAAAACCAAAGGAACACATGAACATCCAAACATGACCCTTTGAACAAACAATCCAAGGGTCAAAGATGTTCAAACAGTCCATGACCCTTTGAACCTCCACACTCCGAAAAGCACAGGCTGGATCTTTCAGGGCTGCCAAGTGGAGGAGCAGTTGGCCGTGACCGACGCGAAGAAGAAGATCCTGGCACAGACCCAGGTGGATTTACCTAGAAAAAGAGTTGGGAGCAGTCCACTCACTGTGCTTTTATGATTTTTGTGGAGAAAACAACACGGAAGTGGACAGTCCAGGTAGAGTTTGCTTGGTTGTTTTGGCTTTGGCCGTGGGGTCCAGGTTTGGTGTCACTGTAGACTGCCGCGCGGTACCTAGGTGGCACAGCTAAGCTTTGAGAGCGAACGGAGCTTCTACAGAGCCTTCGATGGCAATGGCTGACCGCAGCACTTGGGTAGTTTGTTTGGTGTTCATGGTGTTTGGGGGTGGAGGTTGGAAAACCGAATGAGTGGACCATGAATACTACGCAGGCCTCGTATGGGGCTCACTGCGGTCACCCAGTTTCTGCTCCGCTTTGGCCGAGGATCACACTGTCTACTGTCTTGGGTGTACTTTCCCCGAAAGATGACACCAGGCAGAGGAAGTCATCATTTTCACATACTACTAGTAACAAGAAACTACTAGGAACAAGGGGCATCGCTACTAGTAACAAGGGCATTACCCCTATAGTAGCAAATAGCTACTATTAGTAACAAGGATGCTATTAGGTGGAGGCCATTGCAAGTAGGTTGGAGGCCATTGCTACTAGTAACAAGAAGCTAATATAACTGGACGACGAGCGATTGCACGTGGTCCGGGTGATCCGTGACATGGGTTTGTTCGCCACATGGGTTTGCTCGAACGAGCAGCTCTAGCACTTGGGACCAGAGATGTTTTTTTTTTTCAGACTCAAAAACCACAGGAACTCTCTTTTGTTCCTGTTCAAAAATGCCCGTTTCCGCCATCGAACGCACAGCTCTTTGCGGTCTTCAGGATGCCCGTTTGGAAGCGAACATAACTCGACCTCGCTTGCTACTTGTGTGGTTGATTAGTTGTTTGGTTGGTTGCTAGGTTGATCAAGCAACACCACGCGCGTCAGCCCATGTTTTGTGTGCCGTGCGAAATCTGAGGCGTGCAAGCAAATTCTGGCATGGACGTTGGCGTTCTTATTTGCTGCCTCATCTACATGGACGGCCTGAGCCAGGGTGTGTTTTAGCTGTGAAGAGGCGTCTCCAGTGAAAGTCCACAGTTCAAAGCAGGTCAAAGGGGTGATTTTGTTCCTTCAGAGAAGCTTTCGCAACAGTCGTGGATGTCAAGGCCGGTTTCGAAGGCGGTTCCGCTTCCAGCCAAACAAACCTGAACTCGGCCGATATTGAAGACGGCACACGTCACCATGACCGAAGGTCTGGCGATCTCTGTGAAGCTTTCGAGAGCTGTGGGGCAGTTGCGACAGCCATAGAGCTGTGGTTCTCCAAAGGAACATTCGGCACTTGTGGCAGAGGTGGGGTTGCACTTGTGGCAGCCTTTCCAAGCCAAGAATGCCCTTCGAGGCCCTACTCGTAGCATCTCCTTCCTTGCTTTTGATTGGTCATCAAGTCATCAAGTGTCCATCGTACCTGGTGCAAAGTCATCACATCAATGGCAGTGACTGGCCCAATGTCTTTGAACGTCTTCTTTGAGGCAGCTACTTTGCCTTGCCAGAACGACTGAAGATTAAGTCAAAGACCGCTCGACCTACTCAGGAGAGTTTTTGCATCTCGTGAGAGCTTGGGAATGGATGTTTGCTGCTTGCAAATTGTCCCAGCAACAGCAGGTTTCCGCTCTTCTGAATATCTCTGGCAGTAAAGACATGTGAAGACCAGTAAAGACATAGAATCCTATAGATGATCATGGTCATCATGTTCTGCCCTGATTCGAGTCAGCCTAGCCTACCATTGATTTTGGGTCTGGGTTTTGGTTAGGGAAGCTTCCGTTCGTGAGATTGATCGAACAGCCGCGTTCGGCCCGTTCACCTTGGAATGCATGGGATGTTCAGCTGGGCCGTGTGTGTCAGCTGGGCGCTAAGGTGCGGTGCTGAAAACCTTTGATGTGAGACCCCCGGAGGATCTACCGCAGTCGAAGCTGTGAAAAGCTGCTTTCTCAGCGGCAAACAAACCGGACCCGGACTGAGCTGGTAGGAGGTTGAGTGTTGGTGACCGACTGACGAGGCTTCCAACTTGCAGTTTAGAGAAAAGCAGTCGAGTCGATCTAGTGAATCGGTTGTTTGGTTCAGCTTTCATGAGCCCCAACCACCTTGCAGGAAACGTAGCCTGTGGTTGCTTGTCTTTGCATTATCGTTCCCACTTGTCTTTGGTTGTTTGGTGTTCAGACCCTTCAACATCCACCGCGGTCAGCTGAGCTCAAGACTCTCAAGAGAGGATGAAGGCTTGGTGGAGCCTGTGCTTGGCACTGGGCTTGCTGGGCCGCTTGGTGGAAAGCGAGTCCTGCACCCCAGAGCTGCTCCGCTCAGATCAACATGGACATTATTATCGCTTGATCAAGGCCGGCGGAGTTATGAGAGCACATGTGAATGATGCTGTTGCTGTAGATTCGATCTACCTTTTGTATCCACACTCTTGAAGTCCTCTTGTTGCTCTCGATTGTGACCTTTTGTCCTTGAAGTTGCGTGAATTCGCAGTCATTCCGGTTCAAAGACAGGTTGGAATCCCCGCAACCGAGACGCGCGCCGCCTTGTCGGACGCGCGTCGTCCGGTGCGTCGAAGACGCGATGCCACTGGAGGCTGTGATGATTTGCCTCGACAATTCGGATTACACCAGGAATGGCGACTACATGCCAACGCGCTTTGATTCCCAATCCGATGCGGCCAACCTGCTTTGTGGAGCCAAGACCAATCAGAACCCCGAGAATGCCGTAGGCATCTTGGCTGCGGCAGGCGATCGGATTGAAGTGATGGTGACTCCAACGTCCGACTTGGGTAGGCTGGTCACTGAGCTGAACAAGGTGCAGATCGGTGGCAATGCAGACTTGCTGAGAGCCATTCAGACAGCTCAGTTGGCGTTGAAGCACCGTCAGAATAAGAAGCAGAAGCAGCGGATCATTGCTTTTGTGGGCAGTCCCGTGAGTGCCAGTGACAAGGAATTGGAAGCCTTGGGCAAGAACCTGAAGAAGAACAGTGTGGCACTGGACTTGGTGAGCTTCGGCGAAGTTGAAGAGAATGCCCCGAAGTTAGAGAAGCTAATGAATGCACTCAACAGCAACGACACATCCCATTTGTTGGAGGCCCCTGTAGGGCCCAAGTTGTTGAGCGATGTCCTCCTAGCTTCCCCCATCATCAACCCAGAGGGAGAGGCCGGTGGCAGCGGCGATGGTGGTGCGGGCTTCGAGTTTGGCATCAATCCCAACGAAGATCCTGAGCTCGTGACCTGGACCCAAGCCAACATGCTTGACAACTTTTAGCAACTTAATTAACATTTCTTATACTTTAGTAGTTTTGGTGTTAACAACACTAAAATCACAGTTGCTCTTGTCTGGAACTAAGGCCTTGGCCTTGCGCATCTCCATGGAGGAGGAGCGTGCCCGGCAGCAGGCAGCC